CAGAACAGAGAGTGCTTTAATCTGAGTGGGCATTCTGGCCAGTTAAAGTTTAATGCCAGCAAAAGTATTAGAAGCATATTCAATCAAACTCTCTTAAAGCCACATAGTTGAAAATGCTCTTTGTTATAACTAGATGAATAATTTCAAAGATGCACTGTGGCTCAAAAACATTTTGTATAACTCCCTGTGCTCACAGAACCAAAATGTCTCAAGAAGAGCCCATCTTGGTCCAGTATCCTGTTCTCATAGCAGCCAATCAGCTGCCTATGAGAAGTCCGTAAGTTAGTAGCCATTGACAGACTTATCGTCCATGAACTTATTTAAACTGCTTTCAAAGCCATCCAAGTTGATGGCCATTGGCACATCTTGTGTTAGTGATTTCCATAGTTTAAATATGCGCTGTGTGAATAAGTACTTCCTTTTGTCTGTCCTGACTCTTCCAACTTTCAGCTTCACTGAATGACGCCAGGTTCTATCATTATGAAAGCAGGGTGGGAAAAGTCTCTGTTCACTTTCTCTGCCACCATGAACAATTTTATACGCATCTATCATTTTCCAGTTACCAGTACTTGTCATTTTTTTCTAAACTAAAAAGAAAGCCCAAAATCTTTCAGTCTTTACTTGGGGTGGAATTGTTCCAGCCCCTTGACCATTTTGATTGTCCTTTTCTGAACCCTTCCCAGCTCTACAGTATCTTTTTTAAGGGGAGGCAACCAGAACTGTATACAGCAGAGCTTTCCAAACAGTGTGTCGTGACATGTTAGTGTGTCAGCTGCAGTATGTAGGTGTGTTGCGCGAACACTCCTGGCACTCCTACTAGGGCTGGAAAGGGGTTAGCTTAACCTCCTGTTTGCTAGTAAGACTGAATTACTGTGTCGTGAAATGATGCATGTCTAAAAAGTGTGTCACCAACATGAAAAGTTTGGAAAAGCTCTGGTATACAGTACAGTATTCCAAATGTAGTTGCATGTAGATCTGTCCAATGGCATGATGATACTGTCAGTTTCATTCTCAAACCCTTTCCTAATTATTCCTAACAGGGAATTTAAGTTTTTTCATAGCTGCCACACACTGGGCTGACATTTTCATTGAATTGTCCATCACGGCTTCGAAGATGTCTTTCCTGAACAGTCATCACCAATACTGTATGCAAGTATAATTTTGATTCCATAAGCATACATGTGAAATTAGAGATTTACTTATTTATTTTGCTCAAATGTGCATCACTTCATGCTTGTTTCTACTGAGTTGCATTTGCCATTCTAATGCTCATTAGCCTGGTTTTGAGTAATACTTTTGAACACCTCATAGTTCCTTTTTGTTCTTACCACCCTGAACAATATGGTGACATCAGCAAACCTGGTCACCTGACAGCCTAACACTTACTGGTAAGTCCAGACCATTTACAGGCAAGGCTTCAGTTTCCTGAAGGAAGCCTTCTTGCCTCTAACGCCTTCCTTGGCACTGCTTGTTAACCACACTGGCATCCTCTTGGCCTTAGTGGTACCTGCCCTGATCTTTGGTATAACTATTTCAATAGACTTGGGTTCCTTTGGGAGAAAGGGTGGGATACCAATTCAATAGATGAAAGCAAATATAGTATCTATGGCTAATAGGTAAGAAGCTCAGGGTTTCTTTGTTGTTGCTTTCCATGATCTAATGCTTTTAGAGGCTGAAGGAAATAATGAAGAAGATGCTGGAATGGAGTCTTCTGTTAGAAACCCATGCTGTTACAAAAGCTTTAAGCGTCTGGGCTTGGCCAATGTCAGAAAGAGGATGTCAGAAAGAGGACGGGCCACTGGACCTGCAGCTCATCATTTCTCCACAGTCACTTCCTTTTTAAAAAATTAATGAGTGTTCTTTTTTTTTTTTAGAGTTTATTTATTTATTTTCAATGCAGAATCATAACAAAAATTACAAACATTGAATCCAAAATAATACTATACAAACAAACAAAACGGAACATACAAAAAAAAAAAAAACAGAAAAGAAAAAGAAAAAAAAGCAAAGGAAACAAAACTAAACTAAACAAAAACGAAAAAACACACATCTACAGAAAAAAACCATATCATTACGTACATTTACACATACTGACTTCCTTCTTTTGTTCTAAGACCTCAAAAAATTTACTCTTACTATATTGTTGTGTTTGGTTAGATTACTTCCATCTTTGTCCTTTTTTTTTTACACCATTTTTTTTTCTTTAACCCTGTAAAGCATCATTCATTACATACCAATATACTTACTCCAGAACAATGTTTTTTCATATACTCTTTAGCACAACCCCATTCTTTTAATAATTTCTGGTCCGATTGTCCCCTTATGAATGCTGTGAGTCTTGCCTGATTTAGGTATTCACAAAATTTAATTTGCCAATCTTTCACTGATGGAATTTTCCTCCCTTTCCAGTTTTTTGCTATAAGCATCCTGGCAGCTGTTGTTGCATAAAGGAATACTTTCCTTTGATTTCCGGGAATATCATTTGTAATTAAACCTAAAAGGAATGCCTCCGGTTTTTTACTGAAAGATATTTTAAACATCTTTTTGAGTTCTTCGTAAATTTCGTTCCAGAATTGTTTAATAGGTCGGCATTCCCACCACATGTGAAACATTGTTCCTATTTCTTTTTTACATCTCCAACAGGTATTCGAGTTTAATTTGTAAATTTTAGCCAATTTTACTGGAGTTAAGTACCATTGGTACACCATTTTCATAAAATTTTCTCTAATTGTATAACATGCCGTGAACTTAATATCATATTTCCATAATTTCTCCCATTGTTCCAGCCGAATCACATATCCTATATCACGTGCCCATTTAATCATAACTTCTTTTACTTCTTCATCCTTTAATTCCCATTCTAATAGTAAATTATACATTTTGGATATATTCTTTTTTGAGATTTGTAATAATACTTTTTGTAATTTTGATTCCTCTTTTTCAAATCCTATTATTTTATCCTGATTAAATATTTGTGCAATTTGGTGATATTGTAACCATGTAGTACAGTATTGGGTCACCTCTTCATATGGTCTTAATTTTAATTGGCCCTGTTCTTCCTTTAGGAGCTGCTGGTATGTCGCCATTCTTCCTATAGTATTTTTCTTTTAACCGATATTACTTCTAACGGTGAGACCCACCATGGGGTTTTCGGTTCTAACAACCTTCTATATCTCACCCAGACCTTGTATAATGCATTTCTAATTGCGTGGTTTAGAAATTCTTTATGTACTGCCACTTTGTTATAAATTAGATAGGCATGCCAACCATATCTGTTGTTCCATCCCTCCAAGTCCAAAATGTCACTGTTATCCAATTTGATCCATTCCTTGATCCAAGTAAAGCATGCCGCATCGTGATATAGTCTCAGGTCTGGGAGTCCGAAACCTCCCCGCTCTTTTATGTCGGTTAATCATTTATGTTTGATCCGTGGCTTTTTGCCTTGCCATATAAACTTTGTTAGGTCCGTTTTCCATTTTTTAAAACAATCATCTTTACCTATTATGGGAATCATTTGAAAAAGGAACAAGCGTTTTGGTAAAATATTCATTTTAATAGCCGAAATTCTACCCCAGAGTGTTAAATTCAATCTTGTCCAAGTTTCCATTTCTCTTTTTGTTTCTTCCCAATTTTTTTTATAATTATCTTCAAACAAATTTATATTTTTCATTGTTATTTGTATTCCTAAATATTTCACTTTTTTTACAATTTGTAATCCAAATTTTTCTACCAGTTCCTTTTTCTCTTGATCTCCCATGTTTTTTACCATTAGTTTCGTTTTTTCTTTACTCAAAGCAAAACCTGAGACCCTTCCAAAGTTTCCCATTTTTTCTAGAGCCTTTGCTATGCTTTCCTTTGGGTTTTCCACCATTAAGATCAAATCATCTGCAAATGCCCTTATTTTGTAGGGCAAAGCAATAAATAAATAAATAAATAAATAAATAAATAAATGAGTGTTCAAGGTAGTTTACACCATGCAGTTTCATCCTATGCAAAGTGGCGACTGGTGCCCATTGGGGCTGATGGGGAAGAAGGCAGTTTTGCCCCCATCCTCCTCCTTGATGCTACACACATGTAAATTGCAGGCAGGTGGGGCCCGTTTGAGATGGTGGGGCAGTGCCCCATCTGCTCAGATGGACCAGCCTTCATTGGCCGATGCATATTTACTTGGAAATAAGGCCAACTTGTGGTCAACGTATGAGTCAGGCAGCCTTGGTAGTGGCTCCATGTTCTTCCATTCTGTTGCTTTGCTGTGGTGACCAGGCTGGTCAGGCTCAAAAATGGGTATCAATATGTTTTTTAAAGAGCAAGCCACTCTTAGGCATCCCATTTCTCTGCTCCTTTTTATCTGGAACAGGCACCAGCGCCAGCTCAGGATGTGCGTAAAATGAGATCAGTGCGAGAAACAAAAAGGAGCAGGTAACGGGGGCAGTTCAAATGGACACATCTGGCAGCAAGGAGAACCTGAGAGGCACTGCTGGACTGTGTCCATTTGGCTAGAGTGGGGAATCAATATATTTATTTTTCAGATGGGGGAACGGGTGTGGGGAGTGCATTCTTTGGGATGGAAAAACCGTTGCAGGCATGGAGAGGAGGGTGTAGTAGGGAAATATTACAGGAGATTAGATCCCCAAACCCAATTCCAGGGATCAACTCCATCCCCCTTTCGTGAGAATGGACAGTCAGTCAGCGTGGAGCTACAGCAGGGAGTCATTTAACTCGGCAGTTGCTTTCCCGTCTCAGCGGAAGGAGAGAGTGGGCAGCACTGAGGAGAAATGTAACACATGCACAAATACATCCACACCCTGAGGGGTGCCTCGCCCGGTGGGGCAGCTTAGTCGCCTCAGGCGCGTGCGGCTGGCGGGAAGTCCTTGAAGGCGGGCCGCGCCTCCCTCCCGCGTCTTTTCCCCGCCTCAGCTCTCTGGGTCTCTGGCGATCGCCTTGCTGAGAAGCTGGGTGGAGCCCTGCCTGTATAAAACTTTTGCAGGAGACGCGCGGCCGGCTCGAACTCCTGAGGGCGCGTCGCGCTCGTTTAGTGTGTAGAGGGAGAAAGCGCGCGCTGCGGGAGCCGCCACTTCCAGCAGGCCGGCGGCGGCGGCGCACTGAGGGGCGTCCCTGTCGCGACGGGAGAAGCGGGGTCAGGGTGGCAACCCCTCTGAACTGACGGGAAGAAGCGGCTGCCTCCCTGCGAGAGGCAAAGCGAGGGACCATGAAAGGGGGATACATTTTGGCTGGCCTGGCGACCTGGTGGTGGCTCATCTGCAACCCCTTTGCCAGCTGCGGTGCCACGAAGGGCAGCGTGCCTCGACTTCGCCTCTCATCTAAAGGTAAGCTTATGATTACCACCTCACTCAGTAGAAAGCATCCCCCCCTTTGGAAAAAAAAAATCATATTTGATGCCCGCCTTCTTTTCTTATTTAGCCTCCAAATAATCTTTGGAGGTGGGACTTTAATGTTCCCATTTTACAGATGAGTAATGGAGGCTGAGAAAGTGCGGCTCGAGCGAGTCGCATCCATGGGCCAGGCAGTCGAGGGAAGTGTTAGGTTTTGAACCCTGTTTTTCCAAAGAAAGCCAAGTCTGCCTCCACACCTGAAGCTTCTGTGTGTATGGGCGCTTTCAGAAGACCTGTTTCATTCATAGTGATTTGTTTGCAGGGGAATCAGGCAACATGGGTGGTGTTAAGGAGCATTCATTCTGAAATGTTTGTGGGGAGGTTAGAAGATGTTGTATCATACCTGAAAATAATGGCAGTCTGGGACTATATGGACCTGGCGGAAATGACTGGCAGAATCCAAGACCAGGGAGAAGAGTCGGTGGAAGAAGATTGGAAGAAATTTAAAGACTATCTACAGAAATACTGTAAAATTAATGAATGTTAGAATGATGTTGGAATGAAGCTAAGGGGTTTTTAGCAGCAATGTTACAAGGAGTATGTAAAAATGGACTGCTAACAGATGAGAATATACAGTTATTACATATTAAGACAAAGGTCTAAGATAAAAACAGAGGGAAAGGATTTGCTGAATTAACTTACTGAACTGGAATACAAAAAAGGGGAGGTGTGAGGAGGTCAGGGAAACAAGTGAATGAAAGACAAGATATGGAAAGATTGATTTGTTTTTAATTGTTTTTACTTTTTTGTATTTTGTATTCTCTTCTCTCTTTTTTATTCTTTTTTTCTTTTTCTTATTATTACTATTGTAACTTCTTTTTTATTTTTGAAACTTTAATAAATATTTTATATAAAAAAAAATAATATAATGGCAGTCTGGAAGCGCTGTGTGTATGTGTGCGTATACGTGTTTCCAGCTTAAGTTGGTTAACAATGAGAATGTGGACACACAACCTTGGCCAGTATCTTTCTGCTGTGTGTTGGTCCTTCACCTGTACCACAACAAGTACAGGAGAGGCTTAGAAGTACTTCTTTGTTTTCATGCATGACACCAATCCAACATTTTATCCTCTAGAACATACTAACAGCTCTCTCTCTGTGTCTCAGTAGTTCAGGCTGGGATGGTCCCATGTGCACTTTTTTGTTTGCTGAGTACCTTATTGGCTCCCAGTTGCCACATGGAGATTCTTTGGACTAAGTTCCACATTCTTCAGAGAGGTGGCGGATGATAGAATCCATTGAAGAGCTTTGATCATGACTTATTTCCTGAGTTGAATAAGAGAAGGTGTAAGAACAGGGATGGCGGGTGAGGGATCTTGGCATTGGGTGGGAAGCAATGCCTGGCTGGGTTGTCGAAGTGTGCAAGTGTCCTAGGGATCAAGAACAGGAAGGTTGTGAGAATGAAGTAATATAGGTGGTTGTGGAGAAATGGGGGCAAAGTTGCATACATGTCAGCATCCGTATTTTCTCCTCTGTGTGCTATCTCTTGCTATGTATGTAGCACACATTTGAACAGATCATTTCCAGGAACACTCATTTATGAAATGCAGCACATATAACGCATGCCAAATGTACATGAAAATCCAGCAGAGGTGCCAACTGAATAGGAAGGAAAAACCAGCCAGCTTTGGTCTTGCGCCCTTAACAGCAGCTGCTTGTGCAGAAATCAGCAGGTGAAGCTTTTTACAGCATGACAGTGAACATTATCTCTTGATAATAACTGCATAAAGTAGTTATTGCTAAAGCACAGCTGCAGGGATCAGCTAAACAATTGGAAACTCCACTGAATTCACCTGAGCAAGCCTAGGTGTAAAATTTGCTGTTGATTTTTATTTGGCCTCTCTGCCCCTTATCGCTATCAAAGGCTACTATAATCACTTCCAGTATTGGAGGCAATATGGTGAATACGAATTGCAGGAGCAGAGAGTGCTGTTGTGCTCATGTCCAGCTTGTGGGGTTCCGATAAGCACCAGGTAGGCCACTGTGGGAGCAGAATGCTGGCTGAGATCCAGCTTTAGTCGGATCCAGCAGGGCTTTTCTTATGTTCACTTTGCCAAAGCAAAGGCAGTTGACTATGTACTGGTGTATTTATTAGAAGTTTGCAACATTTTCTGATGTCATTGTGTGGCTTGCTTTTCTCTCTCTCCCATTCATTTTGTTCTTTTTTCTTCTGTGTGATTTTTAAAAGAACTTTTTAGGTGTGTTGTTTATGTTATTTTATTGCTTTTACTGATTGAGATGTTTTGCTTTTAAATGTTGTAATGTTGAAGGGACCTCTCTTAAAAGATTGGGTATATATTTTTTTAAAATGAAATGAGATGAAAATTATAATATATGGTCCCCCCCAAGTAGCAACCTACCACTCTTACAGAACATTAAATGCAGCTCATGGCAGGTTAAAAACTATGGGTTGTAGCCAGCTAAGTTGTTCTGTTAGTGCAATGTCTTCTGTTTGCACAGCAGGACTCTCTCTCTCTCTCTCTCTCCTCCTTTTGCCTCCCCCAAATCCTGTTCTGGGGGTTCCCTCAATCCCCCAAAGCATATTTGGAGGGGGAGCAGGAAGACGAGAATGAGAAGAAGTCCTATTGCTCAGGCAGAATTCTTTTTGCTTATGCAGCAGTGGGGAACCTATGGGCCAACTCTGACAGGGAATGGGGCAACCCTCCCATCAATCACATGATGACATTATAATGCAGGCTGCTTTGACAGGTCGGCCAAACTGGATCCCTTGGTGGCCAAGGTTGGCCCATGTGTCTAAGGTTTCTTACACTGTGCTAATGGGATGGCTCTGCTGGATACAGCCTGATGGTTCTGTTACTCCATCTAGCCAGTGCCTGTTTCCTGGTCTCAGCCAGGAAACAGCCCTGCTCTCTGAGAGCCTTCTGAACTGGATATGCCAGGGTCCTTTTTTATGCAAAACATGCACTCTGCTGCTGAGCTATGAGCCTCCACCACCCACCCTCTCTGTGTTCCCAGGAGAAAGTTGTTAACAACCATAGCCTGCTTTGTTTCAGCTGTCAAGGCTCTGTTTTCTTTAGCCAGCTTTGGGGCAGGATGATCATATCTCAGAGCAGGTAGCATGAATGAGAGCAAGGGAAGATGCTCCAGGTGTTCCAGGTGTTTGTAAAGTTGCGCGAACTGTCTCAACCAGGGCTAGCACTTCCAAGATACAGATTGAGTTGTTTCCTGTTGCTCTCACTCTCAACTGGGGTGATTCCGGTTGAATCTGTCAGGTCTGCAGAGCTTGAACTAGTAAGCTTAGGAGTGGCTAAAGCACATACATATTTGGAATGCCTGCTCTGCAAATGTCAATTCTGTTTCCTCAGCAGTGCAACGCTGTAATGCTATATGGACTAGGGTCGATTGCATGTTAGAAATACACTCCCCACCTAACCATTCACTTACCATCTCTAATCCCCCAAAAGGTTGGTTACTGTCAGATCCACAGTGAACTACTGGATCCAATTCTAGTGTAAGCACACAAAGCCATAAAAAGTACCTAAAATAGTGTCCCATCCTGTGTCAACCATCTTGCATGCTACAACCAATGTGGGATGCCCTGTAGGTGCTGCCACTGCTGGATGCCTCTCAGTTGGCAATTGATCTATGTCAAGTCCTCTTCTGTAGTGGTTACTCATTTGTGGAATGCATTGCCCGCCCCAATGAGGTGCATCTGTCTGCATCTTTACTAACATTCAAGAGAACTTAAAAAACCTACTTGCTTACTGAGGCATTTGATGGCTGAAATACACTGTTCCTGGAGACCCTGAGATTATTAGCTGGGAGAATATGTGATTGTTCTCAGGTGTTTTAAATGTCTTTAATTTGTAAACAATTGTATTGAAGCCCTGCTGATGTGTTTGTTGCATTACAAAGATATGTACAAATGTGACATGAAGGCTGGCAACGTTACCACTGTCGTGTGGGAATCCCTTTCAGAAGAACACAGTTCCTGAAGGCAGGTTGTGCATCCATAGCAGTGGCCAGAGGAGGAATGACTGCTGGGAGGAACGCAGAGAGAAGGAGCGCCATGGTGCAAGTGCAGCAACACAACCAGACACCTTAATCTGCCCCAGCTATAACAAAACATGTCTCTCACATACCAGTCTCTACAGCCACAGTAGGTGCTGTAATCTTCCAACAGTTTGATTTCACCTCCCAAGATGCATTCCTACATTCCTCCCAAGACAGACGGTTGCAGCTCCTGGACAGGAATTCCTAGTGTTTTCTGACACCAGAAGCTTAGCAATGTTTTCACAAGAAAGAGGAAAACCCAAAGACTTGAGAACTGTAGTTTGAACAGCCCATATCACAAAGTCACTCAGTGTCAATATTATGGATGGGAACCAAATGAGTCTTTCTTGAGAATGGAGACCTCTGTGTAAGAAGATGAATAGGAAGAAAGTACAAAATGCAAGAATCAGGGACATACCGGTACATTTGGACTTGCATCTTAGTCAGAAGGTTTGTTCCTTTCTGCATTTATTTTGTTGGCTGGCTCCTTTGGAAGCCAGGGGTCAAATCCACATTTGATTCTCATTGGAATATGCATAGAGGCCCATGCTTGTGGGTAGTTTTGGAGTATAGCATCTCATTGAGGTATTGATAAAATGGCAGCTGCACATACTTAGACATAAAATTTCTCTTTCTGACTGGATATTCATTGCTTCAAGATCCAACTGCATGCAATATGAGAGACTGTGGTCAGCAGGCAAAGTCTCCTTAGCCTCAAATAGGCTAAAGGAAATGGAGGAAAGTCTGCCTTTAGGAGCAGCTGGGGGAATGCAGGAAACACAAAACAGAAGAGTTGGGCTTGTGCTGCCTTAGATTGAATACTCATGCAGATTTTCACCAGAGGCAGATGCGGTACTGGCTGAAGCCCAGACTGATGTATTTAATGATCTGAGAGCCTCAGGACTGGAAATGGTAAAGACTCTGAATCCTCAGTTGAGTTATTCTCTAAGTACTTCGTAGTCATGGACATTTGCCTCATCATAGAAGGGAAGTAAAATGAATCACGCTAAAAAATAATGCAAGCATTCAACTTCCGACAGTTTTTGGTTTTCTAAACTCGCTTGTCAGACAGCATCCATCTACCATAGGGGGTGTTGTAAAACAAGGAAAATATAAATCTGAAAGTGTTCAAGCAGCTCCAAGCTAGGAGAGATTGTTTGAGAACAGTCCGCATCTTGAACTGCTTGAAAAAATAAACCAACCTAAATTTGATGTTTAAATATAGTTCCTCTTTCAACACCTCTCCAACAGTTGTCATAGCTGAATACCTATAATTTACATTGCAGCTTATGAATGCTTGCAGAAACAATAATAGGTGCTATTACTGAAAACTGGACCGCAAATTATTTCAACGATAATCAAGGCACTTGGACCAGTGCCTAAAAATGTGAATGAGTAGCTCAAGATAACAATGGGCACAGAATTCCAGAGGGGCAGCCATGTTTACCTGTTAACAGCAAACACACATCACACACACAAGTCTTTTGTTTAAGGTGCCACCAAGCTTATTAATGGGTAAGCAACACAACTGCAGGCTTGTACTCAAAAACTGGGCTGTTAGGGCCTGTGAGAATTCCAAGGAGGGGAGATTCCACAGCAAATAACAGAACCCACAAATATCCTGGTCTTGATTCTTGGCCTGCATTTGTTGAAAACTGGATAAAATTGCTTTTTAGGGTATGAATAGGCCATGTCTGCACCTCCCTTAGCTTCTGGAATAGGAAACAGAGAGGAGGCAGCCGCAAGATACACATCAGAATGCAGGAATGGTGTGGCATAGGGAGAATCCTGCTCCCCCTCTTCATTCCACTGTGGACCCCATGTCCAAATGGCATTGTGCCCATCTGATATCTAGATCTGTGCAGATCTTAAAAAAGGAAATGTACCACTTTGGAGAAAGCAAAATTGTTCCAGCCCTTCAAAATATCCTGCGTTTGTTTTTTGTTTTTTCAAGCCAAGTATTCAACTAAAGACTAATTCAAACATTACTTCAGTGGTATAGTTGGCAGCTGCCATTGTGGATCTTTCTGTGTGGCTACAGTAGATTCAAAAGTTACCATAATTCATGGAGCCCAAACCAAAATATTTTCATGTTGACATCTAGCATGATTTCCCTCTATATTCAGTCTTCTGTTTCAGGGAGAGGAACAGTAATAACCATTAGAGATATTTTATAGAATAGCATGTGGCCTGTTCTAACCAACTGCTTTTCTCTAAAATGCAAGGCTTGGCTCACTAAAGGACCAAAAGTGTATGTTTTAAGGCTTCGCTTCAAAATCCATTCTCATTAAAATAACTTATGTTTATTAGGAAAACACCATAGAGACACAGCTGAATGAAAATATTCAACATATTAACATATGCCTGTGTAACTATTCAGCACTTTCACTGATTGTTAACAATAATCACTGTGGCAAACTCTGGAGATAAGCCATTTTTGGCTTACAACAATGGGAGTGAGGTAATGTGACCGGGTGCTTTAACACTTAGATGCTCCCTGTCAGTAACACTTAAGGGGTCTATGTTGTAGTGTTTTCTAATATCCAGCAGCAAGGTTTCTTAATAACGTGAAAGGAAAAGCTTTGACCACTTATCCCTTAACCAAAGGATCAAAGTAAGGCTGAGGCACGTTGTAAACAAAACTGGATTTTTATTTATGCACACTCAATGCGAGTTAAAGCTTTGTGGTTACTCTTCTAAGGCACAGCACTTTGTTTCAGTCAAAATCACTTTACAGAAGAAATTAAGAACCTTACTTAAAATGCCTACTTTAATCTTGTGCCTCCTAGAATGACCATTTGATCTAAGAAGGTGGTCAAATGCTCCCAGCCCCTTCTAGAAACTTTTCCTACCCTTGAGGGAAATCATTTGGTTTGTCCTGCCCAGCAAGCCCCCCTCTACCAAGGTAATTCCCTAGCCCAAACACCTTCCAGGCCTTGCCCAGGTTCTATCATTTAACTCTCTACCCCTTCCTGTTTGACTGACATTCCACCCAGCCCTGATTGGCTTCTAGGTCTCCAGGATGATGACCCAAGGTGTGCCCGCCACAATTCAAGGTTCGCCAAACATTTTGGGCTTATGGAAAGAAATGTAAGAAATTGTTGTGGGCACCTCAGAATTCCCATTTTGCAAAATAAAAACTGGTGATGCTCAACAGTGCCCCCCTCCAAAGCAAAACACTGACGTCCTCACTAAAGAAAGTAGATAATACCCCTCCAAGATGTACAAAGTGGGAAGCATATCCCAGAGGTCTCTGGGTCATTTCTTTTTATTTCAAGTGCAGGACTGGTGTTGAGCAAGGTTAAAATGGTGCACGCACAAATCTCTCTAGAACCACAACAGATTTTAGATCAGTCCTCTGCAAGGGTTACATGTATATCTGTTTCATTGCAAAGGCTACTGTCTTCTAGAGTTTTGATAAAGCATGCCTGTGTATTAAAAGAGAAACCTGTGTAGCTTATTTCCTTTATCACACACTCATTGACTGATTGCTGGATTTCCCTCTGGTTTCTGGAAGTAAGTCTAATGTTTCATGGAACCATAAACATCAAGAATATCCAGTCAAGCTGTGCATGAATTGGAGGGCGTTAGGCTTCTAGCACAAATTCACCTGAGTGCTCAACATTGTCTCCAGTACCACACATACTGTCCCTCATGCACACTCAGAATCTCCCCTGTGGTATCCCCCAAACAGATTTTGAGGGTGCGCAGGAGACTGCTGGGGGAGGAATGGAAAGTTCCAATGCAGAAGTCTTGCACAAGTGGAGCAGCAGCACTGAGTACTGTCCTGAATCTCTCCAGTGCTATGCTGTGGGGAGGCCTGTGCCAGACCCCACACTGAGCAGGAGGATGTTGAGTGGCTGTGTTTGGAGATGGTGTTGCATGGACCACTGTTTATCACATCTCACATTAAGAAGACCTTTCCATTTTTCCTTGTTGCAAAGGAGCAGGACCAACACATCCTTGTCATCCTCCTTTGACACAGCGAGGTGTCTTGCTCACCCCTCACCCTCTCAGTTTCCTTTCCCTTGTAGTTTATTTTTAAACAGGTCGTCCTTTCATGCTGTAGTTTATTTGTTGAGTAAAAGACTCTCACAGTCAGGCTTGCAGCTCACTCCCAGCCCTAATTCGCCTGAAAGTGACACAGCAGATCTTGTGGAAGAGTGTCCAGGGTTTGCAAATGTAATCAGTGCCCAGATTTCTTTTAGCTAAGCAACATGAGCCTTCTCCATAGCAACATATATGTTCTTGAGATAGCTTTAGAAATAACCTTTCCTCTATTCTGATTGTGTGGCTTGAAAGTTTCTTTCATTATTCAAGGTTGTTCTAGTGTAAAGTAAAATGTGATGTGTTCTTTGGGAAAGGACACAGAGAAAGTTGAACAAATGATTTCTTTTTAAAGGCTTACGGTTTGCAAATAGATTGTTTCATCTAAGGAGCTGACTCATTTTTGTCACACATTTGAGGTGGCCCATCCCTACTGCAAAATATAATTCCATGTTTACATTTTGCTCTTGTCTTTGGAAGCACACAGTGCACAAAAGTTGTGATCATGCAGCAGTGATAGAGGGAGAGAATCAGGTGTGTGCCTTGGGAATAATGCAAGAGAGCCACCAGCTGCAATGCAGGAGGCAGCCTGAGAGTAAGAGAAGCGGCAGAAAGTAGAGAATTGGCTTAGGAGTTCTGTATTGGAAGGCTGAGCTTGGATGGTGTAAGGAGGGATAATAAAATCCTCAAAGAGCAAGAGCTGGCTGTGTGACAATCCAGAGAGGTGCCAAGTGAGGCAAGTGTGTCAACAGCCAGGATTAACTGGAAAGAGGCAGAATCCTGTCCCGCCCTTTGGAGTTTCTTTTTTTTTTTTAGTATTTCTGGATGTTATTTTCCACTTCCTGAGACCAGCTGCATCACATAGTTTCCTTCACAGTGTGTAGGTACACACAAGGAAGTAGTAAGCTTACTCTGATAAGAACAGTTATCTTTGCGGGGTGGGAACTCCTTGATGTTTGTTTTGCACACGAGAGGCACCAAGGCTACATGCTTGTTTGGAAAAACTCTGCCATTTGAGGGGGTTCCTGCTTTAAGCGAAAACCAGCTAAGCAGTCCTTGCTGTATATGCAATAGAAGGTTGAATCTTTTCAAAAGCAAATTTCACAAGTTGGATCTGGACCAAAACCTTAGGGTCCAGTAACCAAAGAGAATGTGTTACTGCGTATCTCATAATCGCTAGAGTGGGACTCTGCTAATAAAATACGCACATTATTACATGCTTATCTTGCCCTTCTGCCAAGGAGCTGAGATGCACATTTAGCTAAGTTGCCCCAGGTGATGTGATTTGCACCTGTGTGTAGCACCTCCTGGTCAGCTATCACTTCAGTCACTGCTTTCCTTGTGCAGTTTTCCCAGAGGCATTTTTATTTTTATTTATTTCACATTTAAAGTTGATGCCAGAGCATCCATTGCTAAATTGCTTAGGACATGCTGAGTGCTTAGGAGGTGCTGAGACAGACATTGCTATCTTCACTGACTGTTTTAGGATAGCCTTCCCCAACTTTGTGCCTTCCAGTTCTTTGAACTGCAACTCACAACAGCCTCTGACAGCGTGGCCAATGCAATTTGGAGCCGTAGTTAAAGCATCTGGAGGACAGCAGGATGGAGAAAGTTGCTCTTGGGTTCTGTTCTGTAAAGCCACTCGCTGCCAGTTGCTGTCCAGAGCCAATTTTCTCTTGTTTGAAAAGTTCCCAGGCCATGTAGATTCCAGGCTTTGCAACATTTTAAGCATTTAATGAGGAGGGCAAGCTAGGATTATGCTTCGAGTGCCTACAATTCCACACTATTCTTTTCTTGAACTTTTACCCTGCAAGAATTTCTGGGGTGGGTGGGGGTGGTTGCACGCCGGTGCAATCCTTCCAGTGCTGGCAAGGCAATCAAAATGGCTATTCCCTCCTCCCCAAATGGGGACTGAAATATGCTTCACGGCTGGTTGTGAATGGTCTTCTGATAAAGAATCTTAAGGCCCATTGACACTTATCTAGTGCGCAGGGAAGCAGCTGTTTGGGGCAGGCGCTGCTGAGGCTTTTGCAGTGGAAAAGGAGAGGTGAATAGGATATTCATTTGCTTTTGCCAGACATGGAAATTTTAAAAAAGGGATTTTGAAAATTTCACCCAGACTCTGGAAGTAACAATTTTTCTTCTCTATGTAGGATTTATTCATTTTAAATGGTTTTTATTGATATATTAAACAGGTGACAGTCTATTAGTTAACTCAATTCTGTTAGTTAACTCTGGACCATGCAGCAGTCAAGCAGGAGTAAAGCCCTTATATTCATGACATGAGAAGCTGCTGCCATCTTGTCCTCAAGTCCAGTTTCATTCATTGTTGTTGTATGTGTCTGTCTCAAGAAAAAATGGAGTGTGCCTCCGAGTGTGAAGTCAAATTGCAGTGTTAGCAGCACCGAAGTGGCTTCCCCTGGTGCGCAAACCTGGATTGTGTGTATGGAGGTTCTGGGCTGCCCAGATGACAAGACTCCCCTCTTAGCCTTGCTGATGTAGTTCAAAAGAAAGCAGAGCAATTTGAAAGCACCTTGCAACCAATTTAGGGATAAATTGCCACCATACTGCAAAAAATGTCCCTGCTTTATAAGTTCCTTTCAATGTTTCTGTTTCATGAGTTCTCTGCAATGGCCAATAGACAAATGTTTTTTACAGTATAAGTCCAAGTTTAGGCCTTGCAGGGACTTTCATGTTTGAACAATCAATAGCCTTGCTGCCACCAGCATGGATGCCAAGTGAGGTGTGAAATCCATTGATTCATGCATTATTTTAGGTATTCCTTAATGTACTACTCCCCAGAATATCTGGGTATCTGGGCAGCCCCACAAAAGATGGTGATCTGTCTCTTTGTGTCCACATCCCTTCCAACATAATGGAGCAATCCCAGATGTCATATGGGAAAGCTGAACCAGTGTCTTATACTAAGGTTACCAGATTTTTTTCAAAGAATCCGGGGGAACTTCTTTTTTAAAAAAAAGAGAGAGAGAGAGAAAGTTATTTTAAAAAAAGTTTTTGTTTTTTTAAAAGAAGTAATATCTTCGCTTCTATGGTCTCCTCCTCTCCCCCTCAGCAATGGCAGCGGCAGTCTCAGCAGCCAGCCTGGTAGCGTAGTTGGCTCTGTCTGGCTTCAGGAGCTGCCTGCTGCCGTGGTGCCCGCCATTTTGCCTCACCGGAAGTCCCCATATGATGTGTCTTGTGCCGTTGAACCAATCATGCAACATTCATTCCCTACTAATAAATCTACAACACTTAAAATATAAATCCAGGGACGTTAAATGAAATCCAGGGACACTCTGGGGATGGATTTTGTCCGGGGACAGATTTGTAAATCCGGGGACTGTCCCCGGAAAACGGGGACCTCTGGTAACCATATCCTATACCAGCTGTGTATAACTTTAATTGTATTTCCCCTAATATAGGAAGGTATAAATTAGGCTGGTTTAGTTGACCCGGTCTTCTTCCATTGCAATTCACCAATATTTTGGCCGAAATCTGATTCCCAAACTCATTTCAGTCCACCTAGAGTACCTATCAATTTGCCAACTAACCCATTATACATTTTTGACTTTTACAGATAAGAATAGATGATAATATTAGCTTTTTAAATTACATAAGCATCTTGCAGGGATGCAGTTTTATGTTGGGAATCTAGTAGCAAATGGTAAAACTGGTGAACTTGTACCCATTCACATCCCAGGTCCCTTTGTATATTATAAGTTGTTCTTCTGGTCCCGTTTTTCCATTCTTGAAAAAGCCTTTTCAAGCCAAAAATAGCTGTTAGCTTTCCACAATACTATACCCTTTCTTAGATTCTCACATTTCACTACAGGGTGATCTATCAAAGGGAGCAGCAGTGAACGCACCAGAGAGGAGGCTTTCTGCCAACCCCTCCACAATTGGAAGGCGCTTCTAGTAAAAGGGTTCTGCATGTGTTTTATTGAGAAAACCATGAATCTAAAGAAGCGTTGCACCCAGATTATCTTCCCACCCAATATGGTTGCTTCCAAACTGATTCAATATTTGTTGGCTTTGGGGAATTGATTTGATTTAGAATAATATGTAAAAAAGGTATAATTAATTGCTCCTGGTCATAGGTAAGGCTACTTTCCCCCTGTTGTGTACAGATTTATTTATTTTTTGTGCTTGTCCTGTTTGTTCCATAGCACATTAGCCAAAAGCTTTGAATTTCAATTTCCTGCCTCATAAAATATCTGGTTAAGGGCTATTAATGATTCAGCCATTTTATGTCCCTTCAGAGCCACAAGTTTCTTTCTCTTGGATGCCAATATTTTATTGGACTCCCATGTTTTTGTATTAGTGGTTGGATTTATACATTTTAAAGCTCTTTCACTGGAAAAAGTGCTGTGTAGTTTGCACTTGGAAGTTTCGACTCAGGGTGCTCTTTCTGTAGACTCAGCTGAAAAGAACAGGGCAAGCAGGGCAAACTCCAAATGCTCTCTCCGTTCGATGGGACGTGACAGTGTACATCATGGGTTAATAGCAGCACCTGCACATCACAATCAAGAACTTGACTCAGAACTTCAAGGGCAGCAAGTACTCTGCTTTTCTGGTTGTTGGTTTTAATTTTGTGCCACCAAGGATGATGCTCTCATTTCCCTAAGAGGCACAACTGTGTACCTGGACAGCATATTTTTATCTATTTAAAAGATTCCTGTACCGCTCTTCAGCAGAGCTACCAAGCCCTCTGACAGATGGGGAAGAATTCAAACCTTTGACATGTGCAGAAGGAAAACTTTTAGGACATGTACAGTTGAGAGGCCGTGTGTGTGTGTGTATTTGGGGATAGAACAGTGACTCCAAGGAACTTGAGGAGGAAATGGTAATATTCCTACTGATCTCTTTCCCAGAAGATAGGCTTATAGTACACCAAGATAGAAACCCAGGAAGCTGCCGGTCAGCTGAGTCCATCTATTGGACTAAGCTGACTGGCATCAGATCTCTAGGCTAGGGTTTCAAACAGGGTTCTTCTTACCAAAAGGCAAGGCAGTGTAGGTACAGTTTGGGTACAGCATTGGAAGCAATGGATTGGCTCCACTGCAAGCCAACACTGCACTGAGCTCCCAGTGCCTTGCCCCTGCCTTCTAGAAAACAGCCGTGGCCCAATGCATTTGATTAGAGTTACTGATTCCCATGAGTTTTCATGCTTAGGCCATGGTTTCCCAGACTGTGTGAGGCCCTTGCTCTGGCAATCACTCATCTGTCATGCCAGCAGCAGATCAGGCTATATGTTCATGTTATTAGGTGAAAAGGGAGGCTCTTTAATCAAAGCCAGGTTCTTGTCTTTTCCCAAAGTGCGGTGGTGATACAATAATGCAGCAGGGAGAAGTGGGTAGCATGAAACCTGCTCAAAAGCTTAGAAGATATTTTGCAGAAGGGATGTGTCAGCAGCACCACGAAACTAGAAGAAGTGGCTCTTTGCTTAGTTGCTCAGGTCTCTTGAGACCTGGCAGCAACAGGCCTGGATAAATGTGAGTGTAAGTCTGCGCTGCCTATATGTGGAGCAACTCTGGGCAGAAAGCCCAGGCTTTCCTTCCTTGCTGGTAAATGGAGTGATGAAGAGAGAGACCATTCCTCTGATTGTCGTAGAACAGTGTTGATTTTTTTAAAATAATATTTTTATTGGTTTTTATTATAACAAACATAACAATAAATATTAAGAAATAAAAAATAAAAATTTGAACAACTGTATCATTTTGCATAATGTTTGTACAGGACCGAAATACGGGATTTCTCCAATCCCCCAACTTCCCTCTACCCCCTCCGTGGTTCCATTATTTGTAGAACAGGGTTGAAACTTCAGGCTCCACGCTGAAGCAAAAGAGTTGTGGGCCTCTTATAGCTCAGCCATCAAACACTGCTTTATAGTCCAGCCTGTAAACATCTTTGATGCTGCCTTTGGTTAAGTAAGTCACCCAGACGAGGCCCTGTTGATAACCAGCAGGGGAACACAAGTGATAATTGCTTCACAGTCTTTTATTTATTTTTAAAAAACATTTATAGACTACCTTTCATTGTAAATAGCAATGCAGATTACAAGAGAAAATGAATACAATAAAACAATCCATTTTTTTAAAAGGAAAAAACAGTATCACTACTGATATCTAGGAATTTCGGTAGAGCTGGTACTAAAAATCAGTGCTCAGGCATGCATGCCCTTTCAAACATGCATGTTTTTGCCAATCGGAGGAAGGCAATCACAACAGCTGCCTTGCAACAACATCTTTACAATCACCCAATCAATATAACTTTCCCCCAACTGCTTAGCACTTCTAGTAAGGGTAATGTTTTACTAGATGTGGCCATGGCTGTAGTGAACGAAATGTGCCTGGGCCTTGACGTACATCCTCATAACATTATATACTAATAGTAAACTCATTCTCTGTGTGCAGACTTCATGTCACCTGAAACAGCATAACTCATGTCCAAGAGAGAGACTGCAGCAGGCTTGGGGGAGTCCAAAGGTTTGCTGAAGTACCAGCAATATTCAGTGGGGAAGCCCAACCCAGTGAAGACTTATCATAGTCAGTGGTCATAATGTTGAGTGATGGGAGAGGATAAGGTGGAAAACTGATGTGAGAGAATAGAATACAGTTGAACCTTAGATCCTGAACACCGGTTTGCGAACATTCTTTGGAAGCCAAACGTCTGACCCGGCTTCCGTAGCTTCCAATTGAGTGCAGGAAGCTCCTGCAGCCAATCGGAAGCCGTGCCTTGGTTGCCGAACGTTTTTGGAAGTTGAATGGACTTCCAGAACAGATTCCATTTGACAACCAAGGTACGACTGTATCCTGAAACAAGACATGAGTAGGGCATTAAACACATTGCGACATTTTGTTACAGGTCCCACTTGTATCTCCTTTTGTCCTTAGTTAATGTGGTGCAACCAGATTGTGCTTGATGCACCCTGAACTTGAATTCCCACAGACAGATTCATCCATATTGGTAGAAAAATGTAACTTCTAATGAACAGCAGATATTAAAGCTACTGATAGATGAATCTGTGCACTAAAATGTTTGGCCAGGATGCTGGATCAGATGAGTCTTTAAGCCTGCTCCGTTCAGGCTCTTCTTACGTTCTTGGTAGACCGACCATACTGCTCCAGAAGCTGTAGGAATTGGCAGTAAGGAATTTGCACAACAAACCCTTTCCGAATGTAACCTAGGTAATCAAGTTCAAGAAGCTCTCCAGACTCAAAATTCTGGTGTATGGTGGCTGCAGTGAAGTATTTGGTTATAAATGTACCTTTTCTCAGAAGATTATGTAATAGATGTGTTATAGCGCTCCATGATGCCATCATTCTTTTCCCCGAGAGAATGAATTTTTGAGTGTTATTGCACTCTGGAGAGGGATTGGGCATAATCCCTGAACCTCACTGTTGCAGCTGACCCTCATCCATTCTTCTACTGCATTAATCTCTTTCTATATGAAAACACTTGAGCAGGAGGAAAGTCTTGCCAGATTAACACAAACCTCCCTATTCAAGGAGAGGAAGTTTTCTGAAACAACAAAAGCATGAGAGCCTGTGCCAGTGCTATTCTGAGACAGGAAAGTATTATTTCTGTTTAATAATAGAAAAATATATGTCTTCTTTTGAAGTGGCCTCTTCTGGTGCTTATTATTGCTGAGAGTCCTATTAGTCTATAGGAGTAGAAAGACAGCCAGCTGCAACAGTAGAGAGCAGACAAGACACATGTGTTTGCCCAACTCTCGTATTTTAGCCCTAATCTTGTACAGTGGTACCTTGGGTTACAAACGCTTCAGGTTACAGACTCCGCTAACCCAGAAATAGTACCTCCGGTTAAGAACTTTGCTTCAGGATGAGAACAGAAATCGGGCAGTGGCGGCGCGGCAGCAGCGGGAGGCCCCATTAGCTAAAGTGGTGCTTCAGGTTAAGAACAGTTTCAGGTTAAGAATGGACCTCCAGACAGAATTAAGTTCTTAACCCGAGGTACCACTGTACATCTAAGGGCCTTCCCAGACAATGGATACTTATGATGTGGATTCAATACAGATATCGTTCTCCCTTGTCTAATGCCGTTATACAAATCTGTGTTGGAACTGCATATGAAATACTGTGTACAGTTCTGGTTGCCTCACCTAAAAAAAGATATTGAAGAGTTGGAAAAGGTCAAGCAAAGGGCAACCAAAATGATCATGGGGCTGGAACACAACTCCCCTATGGGGAAAGGTTGTAGCACTTGGGGTTTGCTAGTTTAGAGAAAAGGTGAATGAAAGGGGACACCATAGAAGTTTATAAAATTATACATGGCATGCATAATTTCCCTCTCACATAACACTACAACTTGTGGGCATCTATCTGATGAAGCTGAATGCTGGAAGATTCAGGACAGATGAAGGGAAGTATTTCTTAAACTGTGGAATTGTTACCCTACAAAGAGGGTCTGAAAACACACTGGTCCTCTTTAGCCAAATAAAGACAGCAACGTTGTGGAAAGAGTTCGGATTTATTGCAGACTGCAGTAAGAATAATTGATCCAGAGGAATGCTCCAAATTCTGGACCCCGAATACAAAATTCGAGATGCTTTTATAGCATTCCCTTTGCATGGTTAGCTCGTGAACGATCCCTTTCAGCAACATGTTTGGATAACAGAATGTGTGGACAGCTTGTGGACTCCGCATGTTCACTTCTAATTGATTTACAAAAAAGGATGCTCTACTAGCTGTATCATGGCAACAGATAGTTCTGGACAAAGTTTCTGAATTCACTATTTTTCTGTCTCATGCAAAATGTTGCATTTTTGGTAGTTTGTTACATGAAGCGGTCAGTTTGGAGCTTCTAGTCTTTTCAAGGCCACTTCACCTTTCTGGTATGTGAAGCTGATAAGCGAGGCCCTGCTTGTTAGCAAAAAGACAGGTTGAGTTGCATGAGAAATCTCTGCTTAGCTAGGTATGTACTTTTATGCAGGACAATGGCACTGATACATTGTGGTTGTGACTGAGAACATGTTTATGCAGGCTCAGCACTTAGCAGGCTGAGATCTATTTTGTATCAGAAGCGTGTTCTGTGACAAAGAGGGCGAGAGTAGGTCAGTACAGTGGTACCTCGGGTTAAGTACTTAATTCGTTCCGGAGGTCCGTTCTTAACCTGAAACTGTTCTTAACCTGAAGCACCACTTTAGTTAATGGGGCCTCCAGCTGCCGGAGCACAATTTTTGTTCTCATCCTGAAGCAAAATTCTTAACCTGAGGTAATATTTCTGGGTTAGCGGAGTCTGTAACCTGAAGTGTATGTAACCCGAGGTACCACTGTATAGGGGTACTTTGTACTTCACTTTCCAGCTAGCCTGAAGGGGCTTGGCAGATCTCCTGCGTTTCTAATAGGCACAACCTCTCCTTGGTGTCCTGCTAGCTGCTGATAGCGGATTGTAAGCTATTGTTCAGTAGAAACTGATTCAAAGCAGAAATATTAGACCTGTGAAAGCAATGTATGAGAGCAATGTATGCTCAGAAATGCCTGCCTGCTGTGTTGACCCCAGTGGATCATGACATTTACCTGAGTCCCAGGTAATGACACTCAGGTATCAGAACTTGCTCCCGCGGGAGACACTGATGGCTGCTAACATAAAAGAGGTTTAGACAAATTTATGGAGGGGTGTGTGTCAATAGCTGCTAGCCAAATTGGTCATTTTCCCACCTTCACTGTTAGAGGCAGAATACATCTGAATGTCAGTTGCTGGGGAGTGTGCTTTTGCCCCATAGGCAACTGGGTTGGCCACTGTGAGAACAGGATGCTGGGCTAGATTGCCTTTGGCCTGATCCAGCAGGATTTTCTTATGTTCAGGTTTCTCTTAAAACAAGAGCAAGCATTAGTAGCTTTAAAATTCATCACTGTGCTGTGCACTTTTTTTAAAAAAAAAATCACAGTTCTTGGAACAATTAGATAATTGTATTCATAAGGGTTTTGGTTGCATTGGATAGATTGCTAAGAAATCCAGGTCCCAGGCTGGTTTATGTTTCTTATTTTTTGCCCTTCATTTGTGCATGTGTGTGTTCTGTGTTAATCCATGGGAATGAGGAAGGAGGGAAGTGTCTGCCACACTTGGAAAACAGCTGCAAGATATGTGTTGTGTGTGTGTATGCGCGCGCGCGCACACACACACACACACAGTGCTAGTCCACTGCTCTTCAGTAATAACCTTCCAAACTCTGAGACTGGATGCCATATGCACAGCAGGAGAAAGGGGCCTTGCCAGGCTGCTGGCAGCTGCTATCTAAGCAGTTTTGCTGGGAATGACTGGAATCAGTCCCTAGCATATTAAGAAGGGTTACACTTGTCCTCCTGGCTCCTGTTCCTGCCAGTGGGAACTGAAATTTTCAGAGAGGGGGATAGGCTGCTTGTTTGTAGGGCGTGACTGGCTAATTTGCTTAATTTCACGTTAAAGGTAATGCTCAAATGAACAGAGCTTTTAGTGTCTTCTGTGCAGAGGACATTTATTCTCTAGCTGTGCTTAAGTGTCTGGTGGGTGCCTTAGTATGCTGTTTGTATTATTTTGCATTTGTTTTATTCTATGGATTTGGGGAAGTAGTACGTAAGCCTAGGTGTGTTTGCATAATGTGATCTTTCTGCCTGAAGTGATTTGTTTATTTTGATTGGGTGTTTGATGCTTCTTGCTCTCAAAAATATAGCCAATTTAAGTATATTTGCTCTTTGCCATACACACACTGCGTTTTATCATGCTGCTACAAATGTTTCACATGGCCTCTTTCTGATGGTTAATGCCTTCCACCCCTGTCATCTCAGTTTTAGTTTTTTCTGTTTAGTGCTGAGCTTCTCAATTCCAGCCCTCTGTATTCTGACATGGGGAGGTTCCATGTGGTGTAGGGCTGCAACTGATGACCAGCTTTACAAGTTACAGTAGGAGGGGCTAGTGACTAGGGATAATGGGAGGGCACCTGGTTGGTGAAAGCTGGTGCAGAGGCAATCTCTTATGATAAATAACAAGCAAAGCCATTTTGAGCCTTTGGGAGTGAGGCAGAACTAAATAATATACAAAAGCGCACAAGACCATGTTATAAACCACTTGAAATGAATATTCTGGCAATGCATTTCATTTCAGTACTATAAAGTTCTCCTGAGACAGAAAGGCAGTGGCCATGACGGCAAAGGACAGACTGTTCTGCCCAGTGAGCTTCCAGCTATACCACATCTGGAAATAAGAACAATTGCCATGCATTTAAATTTGCTGATGTCCACCCCCAGGGCCTTCTAACAAAATACCATACAACAGTGTTGTAAAAATAGGGGAAGCGTGCCCAAATGCTCTCCCTGGAGGACAGAAGTCAGGCAGAAAGTGTAATGCAGGAGTCCAGCGCCTGTCTGTAGGTAATGAAATGGGTAGGGAATGCCAGATTTCGAACATTACCCCAAAGCCAAGGGCACAGCTATGGGTGAGAGGATGAGAGGGATCTATCCTCCCCCAAGCCACGTGATTCTCAGCATGTATGGAGTGCCATTTCTTTGTGAGGAGCACTCCCTCGTCTGTTTAGAGGCTCTTTGCGCATCATCCTGAGAGTGTTGCATGGTGTTCTCTGTAACTTTTCCATTTCTGACTTCTTTTAAAGCACCTGGAACCTAAGATCTAAAGGGCTGCAATCAGGAGAAGTGTAATGGTGGGAAGAGACAGATGTGTTTTAATACTGGCCTCATTGGCCATTCTCCCTCTCATAATTAACTCTCTTCCAGCTGCTTTTCTCCCAGGAAGGAAAAAGAAATGAGTCCCCATCTGCTTAGGGGTGCAACAGTCCCATGACCACTGGGATGAGGCTTACTGATGTTGTTATATTCTTCCACACAGGGGAATAGTCCTCCTCCTCAGTTGATATGGTGAAGTCTAATGATGTTATGGCTGCTGACTGACTGACTGTTCCACTTGGTTCTATTGTTTCCTTTCCCACGTTTCCTTCTGTACATTTGTAAATTGCCCAGTTCCTGTAGCTCAGGTGGTGCCACAGAAGTAAAATACACCACATTACAACTGTAGCTACCCCATTTTTGCATGAGGGAGCTGTTGACTCATTTTAAGACTGAGGAAGCGGGCAGCTTTTCACTTCAAGCAATCTGTGCCACATTTACTTCTTTTCTTCCTTGACGTCAACACGCACTTTACCTTATTTATAACCCCTTAAGAGTCCTCTCTCATCATCCCATCTCTGGGAATTGTTGTTTTCGCTGCTTTTGCTTCTCCTTCACACGTCGCTTGTTTGTGTTCCCCCTCCCCACTTGCAATCCCATTCTGTTGACAGGATACTTGTTGTGATCCCCAACTGGGTTATAAATGGTTTTCTGTGTCTCTGGTCTCTCACAGGATCAGGTGACTTCGGCCCTGTCAGAGCCCAGCCAGATTCTCTTGAGAAATAATTACAGAGCCTAATGCAAATAAGCAAAGAGTCAACTGGAAATAAATGACACAGCTAAAGAAAACAAAAGTGGGATGTGGAGTGGGGTGGGGGGGATGTTGGGCTTTTAAAATAAACTCTATCAAAGCAAAGGAGAGGCATTTTAAGGGAAGGATTTGGGAGGGGATTAAGGACTTCGAGAGCTAAGAAAATGTATGGGGCAGTAGAAAGAAGCTGCTAATGTCGGCCTTTTGCTGACTTAACTCACAAGATTGTTGTGAGCGTAAAACTGGGAGGGGGAGAACCACTTGGAGGTTTGGGGAGGAAAGGTGGAATATAAATGCAGTTGTCAGTATTAATAATGACAAGATGAAGGTCTACCAGGCTTGCATGTTGAGCACACCGCTTTATGGAAGTGAGTTGTAGGCAACTTAACAACCATCAGGAATGATGGTCAATGGCTTCTGCAAGCACTGTGTCAGGAAGATTTTGGACATCACTTGGCAAGACAGTCTCAAATATGCATGTGCTCTACCAAGCCCATATTTCCAACATATTCACACTCAGGATCATGGGTTTGAGCTCCATGTTGGGCAAACGATTCCTATATTGCGGGGAGTTGGACTAGATAACCCTCCAGCTCTACAATTCTATAATTCCTGTCTCAACAATGTCTGCGCTGTCTTGGTCATGTCCACAGAATGGAAGATGGCAGAATCCCCAAGGACGTGCTCTACACGGAGCACCAGGCCTGTTGGCAGACCAACTCTGCATTACAAAGATGTTTGCATATGGGACATGAAAGCTGGCAACATCAGCCCCGCCATGTGGGAATCCCTTGCGGTACCTGGAGACAGTCAGGTCATGTATCCACAGCAGTGACTAGTGGAGGAATAAGTGCTAGAAGGAGTGCAGTCAAGAAACACCATGGTGCATCTGCAGCAGCACAACCAGACACCATCATCTGCCCAAGCTGCAACAAAGCATTTCTCTCCTGTATTGACTTCTACAGCCACAGCAGGCACTGTAACTCTCCAACGGTTTGACTTCACGCCCTTAAGGTGCATTCCTTCACTGTCTCCCAAGATGCCAGCAAATATTAATATAATGTGTGAAGGAGATTTGCAGCATGCAACACACCTACCACTATCTAATCCACAATAGCATGTTGTGGTTTTTTGGCGGGGGGGAATGATTATTTGGGTTTTAATAGTTGGGTTTGCAGAGACCCCCACTGAGTTGTGACCCATCCGCTTTTTCCTTTGCTGCTTTAATAGCCTGCTCTCCTGTTATATCCTAATCTTGGTTTGACAGACATGGAGAGGATGGGAGCAGTGTGTCTTACAAGTCTTGGCAGTGAAGCATGAAATAACTTCCCTTTTATTGGAAATTATAATGTGGAGACTATCAAACCCATTCCAGATGTGTGGCGAAGAGGGGCTGTTTACTGTGAGGAGACTACACAACTGGGAGTTTAGGGAGAGGGGCCCACATACAGGCACGTTAGTGAGGGGGAAAATTCCAGTGGATTGGAGGTTGGGGAGGAGCAGAATGGCCCAGTCTTGCTTGCTGCCCTAGTTTGAACAATCATGTTCAGTAAAAACACAACCTATGCAGGAAGGCAGCCAAACCAAGAAGCAGGAGCAGCTGTTGCAGTTGTAGGCTCTGCCTTGGCATCTATGGAGACCAGTACAGGAGGGCTGTGTTCCAGCCAATCTATGGAATGACATCTCCATTTCTTCTTCCGCTCAGTTGAAAGTCCCATCTGACTGTGGGAAAGCAAGTGGTCGCCACTACAGATGGCGTTCACAGTTTCAGCTCCGCAAATGGCTTCCGTTCTGAGCCCACTATCTGCATGCCTTCACATTACGATGGGGATTACAGCCAGGGCGAAACACCCAAAGTGTTTGTTTTATTGTTTACAGCTGCAGCTAAGCGGAGAAGGGTCTAGTATCTGGCATGCTTTATAGGAACTCCCTCTCTGTGTAAAGCAGGGTTTTTAGCTAGCGCATGGCCTTCAGTTGAAGCGGCTATAGAATTCAGCCCCAGCAGAAGTTGCTGGCCCATAAACTTTAATGGCTAAATAAATGGCCAGCCTCAAATTTAGACATCTGATGTAATAGTGGAGGCTCTCAGATATTAAACCCACGAGGATGCATGCACAGGTGCATTTGTTGACAGACACTTTGATCAAACGCATGAGAGGTGTGTGGAAATGATTAGTGGGCTGTAGTAAGAATGGTAGGTACTCTTTGCATGCTTTGCATGGTGCCAAACATTATAATCGTTAGGGCCAGTATGGTTTACTAGTAGACAGAATGTTCAGCCTGGACCCAGATATTGGGCTATTTAAACTTGAGTTTAAATCATATGCTGGTCATGGACTAGTGAAAGAGGATTATATTGAAGAGGTTTTCAAGTGTTGGATGTGCTAAGGACTGTAATGCTCCCTATCTAGTACAAGCATCGTAGAAATATTTGCTAATCATCATCTAATCTCTTTTAAATCCATTTGTGTCAATAAATAGCCTCTGGAGTAAATGATCAATGTCCCTGCTTTCCGATATATGTGACATTTTTCCTTCTCATGGCATCATGTCACATTACAAGTGCCCATTGAATGGTTGTTGAAAGGCTTCTTGATAATGAACCATTTCAAACCACACTGCAAGTCACCTTGGGTCATTTATGCATTTTATCTCCCTTGTTCCTCCCCCAAATGCCCAGAGGTTCCCTTTTGGCCTTACATTTTTCACCAGTGGGGTGCAAATCACTCCTGAAATGTTGCTTGTGAATGATGAGCCACCTTGGTCATTAACTCTTCATACTCTGGGCAAACATCCTCTGGAGGTTGGCTTTAGATTTGATTAGTTGCTGCTTTGCCTTTGCTGAAATTTCTTGCAGACTGGACAAGGAGGTGTGCAGACTGGACTAAGAGCTGAGCCAAGATGATGAGGGAGAAATTAACTCATCCACAAATGATTCTGGAATGTGGGGAATATAGTCAGGTCAGGATTTATTGGTGGGTTGTTGTTGTTTTTTTTAAATTCCTGGCCATCCAGCATATAATTGTTCAGCAGCATCTCCCACACGCTATTCCCATTCCCTCCCTTTCTCTGCTGCTCTGATTTATATTTCTGCTTTGTTCAGAAGCCTTGCAGTAAAAGGGCATTTTTTTAAAAAATTGCTGAGAAATATTAGTCTTAGAATATGGATAGAGATAGCAAAGAACAGCTACTTACTAAATTAGAGAAAGCAGCTGTGTACGCAAAACAGGTGTGCCCTAGCAAATGCAGACTAATGAAAAGTATTTTGTTGTGTCTGGGAAATCCAGTGGACACAGAAAATTTGGCAGCGTGAACAAGCAATGCCTAATATCATAGGTAACATTCTAACACTATTTCATGCACAGATCCTGCCCGTCAGTGCTAATTTGACCTGTCAGAGGTATTCATGTATCTGGTTTTGCTTCATGTGAAGTTAGAAATATAGGCTGCTGCTACTTCTTATAGCTTCAGCCTAGCTAGAACTATGAAGGAACAGCGGGTGGAAGTCTCGGGAGCAAATTGGAATGCAGAATCACCAAGGATCCTTTCTGAATTGACATGTATGTTAACATCTGGGGAATGATTCAAAATCACAACCACCTGACGCCACCCTTGGATTTGGGAGTTTTGCTATCTTTACGGGTGAAAGATAGACTCCTGCACGTGTGCCAGGCAGCCAATCTCTCTGGGGATTTACCTTCCCAAGGTTCATATTTTATCATGTTGTACAGCGGAACAAATCAGTTACAGGAATGACACAGACCATCTGACCTGCTGGGGGCCCCTCCTGTCTGTGGAAGACCATGTGGCTTTCCGAACCTTCCTCCCACACACACTGGCCTCTTTCTGCTTGAGGGTGTGTCTATTCCTAACTTTAAAAAAACCCACCCCAAATAATTTCTTCCACTATTACAACAGGCAAGAACATGAGGGAGTGCTAATGCAGTGAGGTCACTATTGTTTTGTTATAGGTCAGATTTAGAAAACGCAGCGCTTAAACCACTAGCAATGAACCCAGGGAACAATTAATAATTTGGGTTGAATTCTCATTCAAGTTTTTTTACCTCTCCAGTTTGGTTCTAGTACACACAAATTTTCATTTAATTGGTTTTTAAAAATAGTATATTTAACAAGGAAAGAAAAAAATCAGTGAGAAAAAAGAAACAAAAAACATAATCTGCTTACATTAAAAATACAATAACTGCCAATACATTATCTTAATTTAAACATGTAAATCAATATATGCCATCCAAATGTCCAAATAGGTTTCTACATGAAGATGAGATGAGATGCAGCTTTACTTAAATTATCAATCACACGGATGCCCAGAGAGTGCCTAATCACTCTGTCTGAGACAAATTTGCTGGGATTGCTGTTGGCTGTGGAATTTTATTCCGTATCATTGTCTTTTTTATGTTCTGAGACACTTCAACCTCAAGCTCCATCTTGATTTCTGTTTGCCTGTTTATACTTTCAGCTGAAGTTGTTGCTTGTTGGTGACAAATGTAGCTTGTTGCTTGTGGAGGCAGCTCTGAGGTCACAGCCTGAGACAGCAGATTTTTTTCATGAAATTTCATGTCCTGGCCCTGCATTAAACAGCACCTCCATATGAAGCCATAGTAGTAAACAGTGTGATCCTATGCATGCATATACTCAGAAGTAAGTCACGCTTTGTTCAATGGGATTTACTCCTGAGTGTAAATTGGCAGCCTAATTTGGCAACTGCATTATTTCACTTTGTACTACATTTGCAAGGACTTTACCTTTGCTATTTTAACTACTATTTTTCCATCAAGAGAATCCATTTTTGTAAGCTCAACAGATGAACTTTGCTTGGCCAAATCTTGCCTGCGTTGTTGGTGCTATGTTTAGGCAGACGGAGGTTGTCGCTTCTGACAATTGTTGTTGGGTGTAATGAAAGGAAAGCAGTTTGTTAGTTAACTTTCACTGTGGTTTATTTGTTGCTAGTCATGAAAGGTGCTTGTGATATGTCTTGACCTGGATGAGTGGGTGGGATTCATTTGCTGCTCTGCAATAGGCAACAAAATGACTTGGTCTAGTTTTGACCCTCCCTGCACATATCCCAGGTGAATGAAGAAGGAAGTGGTGATTGCAAGTCTGTGTACGCCCACCCACAACTTCACTGGATGGGTGTGGATGCACCCTTTCATCGCTGGGACTGCCTTTGTCTCTTTTCATCTGTTTTCAAATTGATTCTGCATCTATCTACAATGAGCTTTAATTTTTGGAATGAAACCAGTTTCTTGAGAAGTGTTTTTCAGGGCCAAAAAATGTGCAGTTGTTCCAGAATGTGTGCGGATTTTGTAGAAAAAGCAAGCACTCGTGCTCCATTGATTCCAGAATAAAATGTCATGTGTACACAACCTGTATGTCTGTGATTTTAAGTTCTGCAAGTTCCCTAAACTGCCAGTATCAAAATATGTGTTTCCCAGAAACTCAATACATACATTATGGCATTGAGATAGCAAAAATCCTAGCATATAGGAGCTGCAGAAACAGTGTTCTATAAGCAATTGTTTCAGCATGTTATTTAAACTGGGCAATTGGTCTCTACATTTCCTCTTTCCACAAGACCCCAAGTAGTAGTAGTAGTAGTAATAATAATAATAATAATAATAATAATAATACATTTATTGTCATTGTACAACCTGTGCAAAATGAAATTAAACAAGCCTCCCACCCCAAACACTCAGTCTCGTTGCACTCTGTGTGCTTATTGAACAACACACCACCTCACAAGTCAATTTTGCTGTGTTATTTTCTGTTCAACAGCATAACAGCCCATGGATAGAAACTATTCTTTAGTCTGTTGGTACGGCTGACCATACTTCTATATCTCCTCCCCGAGGGTAGAAGATTAAAGTGGTGATGGGGTGTGAGTCATCCCCAAGAATCTTTCTCGCTCTCCTAAGGCAACAATCCCTTGCGATGTCATCCATCGGACTCAAGGGACAGCCAATGATATCATGTGCTGTATTTACCACTCTCTGTAGAAACTTTCTGTCCGTGGCTGTCAAGCCAGCATACCACTCTGTAATACAATATGAAAGGACACTTTCTATTGTGGACCGGTAAAAGGAGTTCATCAATTGTTGTTTAACATTATTCTTTCGCAAGACCCTGAGGAAATGGGGTCTCTGTTGGGCCTTTCTGACCACCTGAGTTGTGTTGATTTTCCAAGTGAGGTCCTCACTAAGGTGAACTCCCAGGAATTTAAAGGAGGAGACTGTCTCCACACAGCCCCCCCATATACAATGGGGCAAGTTCCCCTCTCTTCCTCCAGAAGTCCAACACCATCTTCTTTGTCTTACTAATAGTTAGGTGCAAGTTATTCTCTGAGCACCATGTAGATACTTTTTGAACCTCTCCCCTGTATGCTGTTTCATCTCCGCCTGCAATTAGGCCCATTATGGTAGTATCATCTGCAAACGTAATAATTACTGTGGATGGATCAGATACAATGAGTACAGGTAGGGACTTAGCACACATCCCTGTGGGGTGCCAGTGCTAAGCTTCAGGGAGGTAGATCTAACAGTCCCAATTCTCACTGTGTCCAATCCCTCAAAAAGTCTTTAATCCAGTCACAAATGGTAGAAGGAAGGTCTACCACTTTGATAAACTGATGTTTATCAAAGTCCGGTGGGAAGCTTGACCTAAGATGTTGAAGAACCAATCTCTCAAAGCATTTCATCACTACAGATGTCAATGCAATAGTTCTGTAGTCATTTAGGCAGTTAGTTGCTGTTTTCTTGGAGACTGGGACAATGGTAGCTGCTTTCAAGGATGATGGAACACAAGCCGTTTGCAGAGAGATGTTAAAAATCCTTTTCAGAACCCCTGCTAGTTGATCGGCACAGTTTTTTTACTACAATCCCCAGCACCCCATCTCTTCCCCTTCTATTCCCCCATTGCATGGCTTTCCTACCTTTCCCCCACAGTGTTTCTTGCACTGAGACCTCAAATCCACCCCAGCTTTCAGCAGCCGCTGATAAAAACTCCATTCTGCAACTGTCAGGGAGTTATCCCTGTCACACTGATGGACTGTTTTATAAGGCATTTATCTTTTAGCCTTTTATCAGCAGTAAAGAGACCTCCTGTCTTCACTCCCAGCTAATGACAGCCTCCTTCAGCGTTCTGGATGGAGCATCCGGTGTTCCTAGCTGCAGAAATTGCTTGGTGACCTGGGACTCCACGTCCGGGTATAAAAAAAGAAATGGCCCTCACAGACTGATGAGATTAATTTCCAATAGTCCAGAGGATTCATACGCAGACCACTAGTGCCTCGGTGCCACAGAAAGCTTGGTCAGTGTGCCAAAAGGTTGCCTTTGTCTTAAGAGCTCCCCTGCCCCAAGCCAAATTACATTGCTGTGATTCAGGGTAAGGCAGCAATTTGAGCTGAGGTTCAAATCTCTTTCTCCTGCATCCAATTTCATGGACCTCTCTTTTTAAATAAGGAAAACAAAGCAATTCAACTCTAGAAGAACCCAGTGTAGGTCAACAGCAGAAACTATGCTGGTAATGAGAGAGGGATTTAGATATATCTTTGCTCAAAACCCCTCTTCATTGGCTCATGGTTTGGGGAGTTCATGGAACTGAAATGGACATCTAGTTATGGCATTTGCATCTTGGTGCAACTAATGTGCTGGTCATTTGCTGCAATCTTAAGCATGTTTACTCAGGTGTAAGTCCCATTTAATAGGAGGCACTGCTGATCTTCCACCCTATTTTCAAAGTATATTTTTATCGCCCCTCCCTCCTTGTTCCTGATATAGATATTCACTCACCCTTTCTTCCCTGTTGGGGTGGGAAGGGGCGGGCAGGTGCCATTTTGTGGTTTGCCTCAGGTGCCAAAATGTCTTGAGCTGGCCCTGGTGAGGGTGGTAGACTTTGAGGCGAAATGAATAGCCTGTTAATTCCCTCCCCTCTGTGATACTGAGCTGGGCGCTTGTAATGAACCTGTAAGGATGGAAGCCTATTGTGCTACTTAGTAATAGCTGGCTGGGTTAACACTTTTTAGGTGATGCATCACATCAATGTGTTCAATCTGCTTGCTTGTTTGATTTTCCTTTTAGAGCATTTTGATGTAGCTATATATTTTTTGTATATGTTTAAAATCAAAAAATGCTAATATAACAAAATGATAGGGCATTGCTGCAAAAGGAAGGGATCGTTTTGCGATGTTTTTATCGAGCTGTTTTTTTTAAAAAAGTGTCATGTGAGCTTTAGGCATTTTTCAACCTCAGGAAGTTTTTTAAAAACTAATTTTGAGATGATTTCATTTTATTTAACAAAACTTATATACCACGTCAGTGTAGAAAAAATACCTATGTGGTTTGCGAAGAATATAAAATATACAATGCAAATCAGTTTTTTAAAAAAGTTTTCTATAAGGAATCAAAATAAACAAAAATACTGTGTTTCTAATTGCAGTATTATCCAAATCCTACATTTGCAGAAATGCAGAACACAGTGGATAAAATAAAGCGAAAATCAGCCATGATTAAGCGACATTGAAAGCAACGGGATTTGTATGTTACACAAAAACACAAGCACCAAGAGGGCATTGAGTGCACTTTAAAATGTCATGTGTTTACAACCTTAATCCTTAACTATCTTTTGCTGAATTTGCACCTCATGCTTAAGTAATGGCTTGCTCAAGTGAAGCAGGCACACAGAGTACATGTTCAGTTAACATGGACCCTCTTCTTTCAGTTTCCTTTGCCTCACCTTCAGTTTTCCTTTATCATTTATTCCCTGCCTTTTAGATCTTTTGGCCACTAACCGCTCAGTCCTGTTCCTTGGGCACCGAGGAATTTTAGATTTCCGCTCCTTGTACCTCGATGAATACCGTGACCGCCTGTTCATTGGAGGAAAGGACACACTTTATTCTCTTCGGCTGGATCAAACCAACATGGATGCTAAGGAGGTAATGTTCTCGATATATAATGCAAATTTAATGTTTACTATAATCATGCATGTTGAATCAGAGTTTATAGGGCACTTTTCCAAAGCGCTCAAAGTGGTTTATGTACGTATATCTTTACAATACAGTGGTACCTTGGTTTAAGGACAGCTTAGTTTATGAACAACTTGGATTAAGAACGCTGCAAACCCAGAAGTAGGTGTTTCGGTTTGTGAACTTTGCCTTGGAAACAGAACATGTTCCACTTCCTGTTGAATGTGTTCCATTTGTAAATTGAGTTCCCGCTGCTATGGGAAAGCACACCTTAGTTTAAGAACGCTTTGGTTTAAGAACAGACCTCTGGAACGGATTAAGTTCGTAAACCAAGGTACTACTGTACTGAACATTCTTATCCCCATGGGATGAGAGATGCCATACTTTATCTGAAGCTTCCTGAGCAAGTTCAAGGTGTAGTGGAAGGCCACCAGCTCATGCACTGTACTACTTTATGTACGTTAGGTGCATGTTTGTTATACACGAGATAGGAGGGTCTTCTTAGTAGGGGATACTAGTACTCCAAGGACCTGAATGATGGGAAGCAAGCCTTTGGAAGTAAGTAAGTGAATTGATTCAAATAGGGATCATGCTCTTTGAATAAGGTTGGGATAGTTTATGAAAGGTGGTATACAAATTTAATTCATCATCATTTACACGCTTTAGTCAAGACAAGTGAGCAAAGCCCACACTTTGGGAGGAATTCAGCATAGCTGCTTGGCTAATGGAACAATCTGCCCTCTTCTCTTCCAGTGTGCTGCTCCGTGGGTTCTCCTGCCAATTGGAGGGGGGAGCAGGAGGCCCCCAGAAGTCCTTGCGTAGGCTTCTGCTGGTGTGACTGGTTAGTTGACTCTGCCCATTGATATTGGTTGGCTTTTGCTGGCACTACCTGCGATAGTTCAGTTGGTAGAGCATATGAGACTCTTAATCTTAGGTCATGGGTTCAAGCCCCATGTTGGGTGAAAGACCCCTGCATTGCAGGGGGTTGGACCCTCATGGTCCCTCCCTTCCAACTCTACAATTCTATGATTTTACCTCTGATTTGGCTGCGCTGTATACAATCCAGAAATGGGATAACTGACAGCAATCAAGTACTGACTAACTGATTTGGCTGTGTTTTCTTGTGGTCCCAGAACTCCGCCCACTTGCCTAAGCCTCTGTTTAGAATCTTTAGTTTTACATTTCCACCTTGGAGTCAGTTTAAACACCATAGAAGTCTCACATTGTATATCCCCAGCAGTTGCGCTGGTGGAGTAGATTCTGCATGCATATGCAGAGGTGCAGTTAAATGGCTTTAAAATGTTCTTCCCATCAAGTGGAGCGCCTTCGTGGGTAATCACTTTCCAGTGGCCTCCGTAAGGATACTTAAAGGATCCCTCAGAGGAGCCGTTTTTCCATAGAAGCTGAAACTTGAGATGAACAGAAGGCATTCAGTAAAGCCCAGGCCTTAAGCAGACTTATTGCCCAGGGCAGAGAACTTCATTAAATAGAAGCCAGAAATGTGACACCAGCCAAAGGTTGGGGATGGATGGGAGCCTGTGTAAGGAATGTTCCAGTCCAAAAGAGATCATATTGCAATTATATGTAATTGGAAGTGTGAGAAGTCTAGACATATGATCAGGTTATGAGCAATTAATATAAGTCTGCAGAAGGATCCGACTGTCATATATAGTAAATGATTAAATTAACTGCTGAGTCAAAACCCAGCAAAACTGTGACAGGAAATGAGATCCTTGACAGGATGGATGTCTCTTGTCCCTTTTCGTGTGTGCGAATTGCTATATGGGAATCACTCTATTCCTCCTTCCAATAATTCTGTGAAGCAAGTCACTTTAATACTATCATTTTACAGGTTCAAAACTAGGGCTGGAAGCGTTGCGTTGTAAATTTAAGCAGGGAGAGCAGGTAGAGAAAAACGGGACTCAACGTCACCAACTGGTGGCACAATGTTCTATCGCACATACAATGCGTATAAATCACTTTTTCTTTACCAGTCTAGCTGGGTCCTAAGACTATAACGAGAGAGAGAGCGCAACATTCCAAACATTAAACAATCAAGAAGAAACTTACGAGGTCAGATAAAGTTTTATATTTTTGTACAACTGAAAGGTGTGCAGCCACTTATTTTTAAAAAATCAGTACTTTGCGAGGGTGGGTGGGTTTTGTCATTATTATCTCCCTCAAATAACAGTTTTCAGTGGCTACTAGCCATGATGGCTCTGTACTGTCTCCATTGTCAATGGCAACATGCTGCTGAGGAACACAAGTTGGAAGAGTGCTGTTGTACTCCTGTCCGGCTTGTGGGGTTCCTAGGGGCATTTGGGTTGGTTGCTGTGAGAACACGAAGCAGAACTAGATGGGACTTTGGGAACCTTTTAATGCTCTTATATTCAAAAGCCAGGCCCCAAACATCATTGACACTACTATCACCAGTGCCAAAATATACAAAACATAGTCCCCCCCCCCTCTTTTTTTTTTTTGGTCATTAAAGTATCTTTCCACTAACCACATGTTACATCCAGTACTTGTTCTGAGATTAACTCACGCGAGCTCCAAACAGTTATTTCCCTTTTTGTACTGCCATCTTATCTTGGGTGGGTTGAGCTGAAGCACTGAAATGGCAGACCCCAGGATTTTGTAGCTGAGTGTTGCTGATTGTATGTGCAGATAGCATGCCTGCTCCCTCCCATCTTTAATTTTGGAAAACAAAGACTGGCATTTGGCGTTCTAGAGCAGCTACAGGCTATGTTGCCCTATTGCTAATGATTTTCCTCCTTCTCAACTTTTTCCAGTAAGGTAGCGTCAAGGAAGTTGCTACTGGGAGGTGTATATAATTGATTCTCATTTCCTCCTCTTCCCAAGGTCAGGGAGGAACTGATTGACACACACACACTTAGTTCTTTAGGAAGTGTTGGCGTTTGACATTGGAAAACATGATACATGTTTATTCTACCATTTAATTAAAAAAAAATACCAGCTACTTTATTACTTCAACTCCCATTGAGCTAATGCTCTAGAGACTTTTCACATGCCCTGATTGATTTTTAGGTGACTAGTGGCTGTACCTCCTGCTAATCAGCATAAGATCATGATGTTGATTAAGCCACACCACTGCTCCCTGCCACCCTCCAGCTCTCTCCCCTCCCCCTCCTTAGCACAATCTTTTTCACTACATTATGTACCAAGACTGATAGGTTCGGCTGAAATGCCACTTGAAAGAAGATGGTGTAATATGGCAGAACTTCCCATTGAGCCTATCTGTGAAGGCCCTTTTATGAACATTTGGTTTTCACAAAGCATTCTGTCTTCTTGGCACCACTTGGGGTAACTAAACAATACTGTGCCTGTCATCTCTAACTATTGGCCATGGAGGATGGAGCTGATGTTATGATCCAACAACATCCAAAGGGCACTGGCTACCCTTACATTACTGCCAAAGCAGGGCTATATATACTGTAGCAAGAGCACTCCCAAATCTATTTAATGCATTGTCACGAATGAGGACCTGTCTCCCAAAATAAAACAGAATTGCATTACTTTTGATATGCCAAGTGTATATGCAATATTAGAAAAAAAATTACTGTAATGTAAATAGAAATACAATGTATTTGATCGTAGTGGGGAAGACTGTATCTGCATGACTTCAGTCTGCTCAGTCTGCTGTCCATATGCTAACTGTTGATGGACAACTTCAAAGGTCCTGTTGCCCCTACTTACAGTTATTTGCCTTGGAACTAGGCTTGGACCAGACAGTCCTTCAAATAGAGGACTTATTCAAATCAGAGGACTGTCCTAAGGAGCAGAGTTTTGTTTGAGTGCCTAAATAGAGTTAACTTTTTATAAATATTTTTTAAAATATTTTTTAAAAGAATGCTGAGCATTGTAGTTTTTAAATATGGCAGCTGGAAGACAACACTTTGGTTCTTTTCTTAGATGTTTTGTAGACTTTTGTTTCACTAATCCTCCTGCTCTGTGATACCCCACCCACTCTAGTCTCTAGTTGGTAAAACATGTAGGGGCAGGCCCATGAAACGTTCCATGGGATAAGAGTGCATTTATTATAATAAATCACACAGTTTGGCTTCTTGATGCCATTTTGGAAAGAAGATTTTAAGTACCACTGTGTTCAGCTGACATCTTAGCCAGCTGCAAGTTTTAGCTTTTACTTAGAAAGAGCAAGAAGATCAAACTTTTGTTTGTGTGTCGCTGTGTCCTTGAGGGTGTGAGACCACACAAAAGGGAAATGGAAGGTCAAAGGAGACCCTTCTCCTCTACATCTTACAGAAAATGAATGTCTCTCCAGAATTCTCTGCCAGCACATTCGTCTGTAAAACAAACTTTATAAATCAGTCCGTGGCTTGCATAAACAGTTGCTAGGCTTATGGTTAAAGAGCCAAGTTGTAAGGCCAGGTTAGGGTTAACCAGATGTCCTTTATTTGAAAAGATCTCTCTAAATTCTCTCCTAATTCATGAAACTGCAACTCTTTGTAGGATAATGGATGCCTTTTGCTTGAGATAAAAATGACTCCAGAGTCTCCTTTATTTTTGAAATATTAATCTGGCATCTTATATTCTTTATTACCACATTAAATGGAGTGAAGCATCCATTACAGGCAAAAGAATAAGATTTAGCTTCCTTCTCTAAGGAAGCACTTTATTTTGTTTCTTTCTTTTATGTTTTCTTCTATTTACTATCTTGGGTGATTTTAACATTTCGCTCCTTCTCTTGTTAGGACATTTTCTTTTGATGAGTATGAACCAATAAATATGGATTTCTTGTCTTCTCATGTTGCTCTTCTCTAAGCCCCCATTCTGTCTTGTTTTTGTCCTGATTCTGCAGCTTTTCATTTCCCCCCAACTTTTTATATCATTGCTTCAAACTTGTTACTCTGTTCTACAGTCTTGTAGGTCTTCCCTTCCTCCACCTTTCTTCATATACCATCTTTACTCCTATCCTTGTGCTTCTGAGCATACATAGACATGGCATGCCGTAAATAATATTGTGGAGATAATTTAATAATAATAATAAGAATAAGAATAATACCATGTGATCTTAAGGCACTTTTGAACAATGTTCATCCTGATTGGTTTGTAGGGAGATTAGGCAACAATGGCTGTTTAAGGAGCATTCATTCTGATTTGCTTGCCAGGGAAGTTAGTGGAGTCAAAGCAAGCGTTATCCCACATTTTCCAATGCATTTCTCTGCCGTTTCCCTTAGCACAAAAGTTCTGATATTTTGGGGGAGCAGATTTGTTGCACGATGCCTTCTTCCAACTGTGCAACTTACATTTGCCAGTATGTGATTGAATCTCACCTGAAAATAGCCACGGTCTGGAAGTGAACATTCATTTTAGGTTTTTGTTTGTTTGCTCTGTCTCCTGCAAAGGAAGCTTATTTTAACTGCTTGATACTGGGGGGAGTATTTGTTGAGTACAACAGAGGTGAAAATGAGCACTGCAGCTTCCTGCCTGTGGTAGTGACTTGTATTGGTTCCAAATATCTGTGATAATCAAAGCTTCTTGAAAATGAATTGGTTATTATTATTATTATTATTATTTACATTTGTATCCCACTTTTTCCTCCTCCCCATTTTATCCTCACAACAATTCTGAGAGGTACGTTAGGCCGAGAGTAAGGGCTCATCCTGCTTGCCTCATCACTTTCGCCCAGGAAAAACTGATATTTACCCCTGATTCAGAGCAAAAACCAATTGGGTTTTCTCCCAATTGATGTTTGCTCTGATTTAGCACTAAAGGGAGAGTTTTCTGGGAAAGGAGTAGGCCAAACAGAAAACCACTTGGACCTGTGCCTAAAGAGTGTGGGATAAGCAGAAAACTGATTGGAGCCGAGCTTTCTGAGCATGGGACAAGAAGAAGTGTTGACGAGCCCTAAGTGACAGACCGAAAGAGCTTCATGGCCAAGGGGGATTTGAACTCTGGTCTCCCAGTTCCTAGTCTGAAATTCTAACCACTATGCCACAATGGTTCTCAGAGGTTAACATTCCTTCAGGGAAAGTTTAAGTACAGGACAATTTTATTCCTGGCAAAAAGTACAAGCATAACAAGGAATTTAGTTGTTTGTCAAATAGCAAGAAGGAAGAAGACCCTGCAGCAAGGATTTTCTTCTCGGCCTGAGGAAACTTCACTCCCTAGTTCCATGTCGTCGGAATGTCTTGCACTTACGTTTTTGCCTTATGTTGCAGATCTACTGGCCGCCACTACCTGGACAGAAAGAAGAATGCTTTCGGAAAGGAAGAGACCCAGTGGTAAGTCACCCTGTAAAGCATCCTGATTAATTTCCTATGAGTTTCGGCACTCCTCTGATGACATGTTTGAAATGAACCTGTGACTTCTGGGAAAAGGCCGGCTGCATCCCTTGCTGACATCATCTTAATCAGTTCATCCTACTTCCATTTGGGGCAACTCCTCTATCCCTCTTCTAGCTTGTTCATGCTAGAAACAGGTTTGATGATAATCCGCTCTTCTCAAGGGATCCAGGGAATTTCAGTTCTGCTGAGTCAGTCTAGGGATAGCTGACTAAGATTTCTTAATACCCCATCAAATGTCAGTTCCCAAGATTCTTACTAAGTCACCTTGGCAATTATTATATAACACTAATAAAAGTTTGGAAAACAGAAGGCTAGAGGCATAATACATATTCATGACTGTAATAGAATGGGATGCTGGTGATTAGTATTCATAACCTTGAAAGAAAGGTTAAGAATTAGGTTGTTTTAAGCTCACTAAGTACCGTATTTTTCGCACCATAGGACGCACCCTGTTTTAGAGGGTGGAGAACAAGAAAAAAAAATTCTCCCCCTCTCTGCCCCAGCGCCCCTTCAGCGAAGCGGCAGGAGGCGCTGCGCAGTGAGGGGGAGAATTTTCCCCCTCTTGTTTTTCCGCTCTAAAACAAGGTGCCATTTAAGGTGCGTTCAGGCGGCTACCTCGGAAGCCTGGAGAGCGAGAGGGTCGGTGTGCACCGACCCTCTCGCTCTCCAGGCTTCAGGTTCCTTTCGACCTGCTCTTTGGGGCTGGCGGGGGGAAGCCCACCACCAGCCCCAAAGAGCAGGTCAGGGAGCAGCGGAAAGGCGCAGCGGAGAGGCTCCTGCCATAGCCGCGCATCACCTCTCCAGCCGGGAGAGGGTCGCGGGGTGCTTCTTTAGCCCCGCGCGCCTTCCGGCTGGAGAGGTGACGCGCGGCTATAGAGGCTCCTGCCATAGCCGCGCGTCACCTCTCCAGCCGGGAGAAGGTCGCGGGGGGGCTTCTTTTGCCCCCTGCGCGCTCTCCCGGCTGGAGAGGTGACGCGCAGCTATAGAGGCTCCTGCCATAGCCGCGTGGGGGCTTCTTTAGCCCCGCGCGCGCTCTCCTGGCTGGAGAGGTGACACGCGGCTATAGAGGCTCCTGCCATAGCCGTGCGTCACCTCTCCAGCCGGGAGAGGGTCGCGGGGCTATGGCTTCTTTAGCCCCGCGCGCGCTCTCCCAGCTGGAGTGGTGACGCGCGGCTAAAGAGGCTCCTTCCATAGCCGCGCGTCACCTCTCCAGCCGGGAGAGGGTCGTGGGGCTATGGCGTCTTCGCTCCATAGGACGCACACACATTTCCCCTTCATTTTTGAAGGGGAAAAAGTGCGTCCTATAGAGCGAAAAATACGGTATGTGACATTTTATGAAGGCTTTATCACATTTTAATTGTAAGAAAACTTGCCAGTTTTAATGAATATAGATTGGGAACCTGTCCTTCAGGCATTGTGTTCTTGATGCGTCCATACATAAGCATCACATCTTTACAGATTTTACTTGTTTGGGCTGTTAGAAAAGAAAGCTCATCACATGGGAAGGTGAGTAGCTTGAGGGACAGTTCAATGTTTAGCTCCCGCCGGTTGGATTTTGGAAGCATTCCCATGGATAAGTGCACATGAATATGTTTTGTTGGAATGAGTCATCCATGCAGCTTGTAAATTGCTTTCGAATATATGGGGTGGGGTGGGGGGTGGGGTTATAGAAAGGTGAGTGACTACATGTATAAAGGAATGAACTTGCTTCAAGGCTCTTTGCTACATTGTTTTGTGAACTGAAATCTTCTGTGTGTGTGAAAGTACAATTCTAATTTGAGAATAACTGCCCAGGCATCTCTCTCCACCCCCAGCCCCATCTTGATACCATATATCTGAAAACTGGTCCCCACCTGCACTTCAATATTAATCTATCAAGTCAAAAAGGGGAAAAAAAGTTTTTTTATGATACTAGGACATACATATATTGTTTGGTCCAGTCTTCCCCAGCTAAAGCCAAGTTCACATATCCGCTCACTTCTAGATACATCAGATGCATCAGTTAGCTTACATTTTAGACACAATTGTTTTCGCAGGCATGGGAAAGTGGAAGACCTTAGGGAAAGGAGAATCTTAAACAAGCAGCAGGAAACCTTCCTGCAGTGTTGGGGTACCAGTTATAAGTGGGGTCACCTGAGATGCACCAAAGGGTATCACACACTGAACTATCCAAGGTGAAAGAGACTGACAGTCTTTTTTAAAAAAATATTATCAAATTTTCAAGCACTAAACATAATCATATCAAGAAAAATACAAGTGCATTAGAAAATTCAGAGAACACAATATTTGTAAAGCATGTCTAGTGTAACCTCATATCACAGATTTTGTCACTGATGCATATTACAAAAGGATATCTCACTCAAATATCTCACTCATAATATGACAAGTTTCCCATCTCCAAAGTTAACAAATTACAGGAAAGGCTGATTGGAATAACGGTTCTTATTAAAAGCAGAAGAAAGAAAACGTCAACCTGCTGATATCATCATTACCAGAATGATGGGTTAAACAGGCTTCCAAAATCCTCAGGGGCGGGGGTGGGGGGGCAGGAAGGAAAGTTCATATTGATGTACCAGATGTATATGAACTTGGGTAAAAATGACCAGTGTGTTGTTGGGCTAAGTTTGCTTCCCCCTCAAGAGACATTACAAGGGAGATATGATTACATAAGGAAAGCTCTGCAGAATCAGACCAAATGCTCACCTGGTCCAGCATCTTACTTCAGCATCGCTCTAGGTTGATTGTTCTGTCGGCAGAAGCTTTCCAGATGGAACAATCTCCCTTGTCTTCCCCCATGCCTTGTTCTGGGTGTTCTCCCACCCCACAGCCCAGCTTCAGGGATTAAAGGGGGTTCGTGGGGGGAGGAGAGGGGGACAGAGACCCAGAATCCTTTGAGGGAAAGACTCTGCTTTGAATGTGCTTTAAAGGTGTAGCGTGTATGGTGACTACACTACCTGAAAGACCATAATTTCCTGCATGAAGATGCCCACATATTATAGTCATCAGGGGATGTCAGGACATCTCCTTCTGCCCTCATTGGATACATTCAGATGCCAGGTTAAACAACCCCACTTGAAGGTGTGAGTATGTGTGTTTTAAAAAACCATATATTGTGGTACTGTTCATTATTCTTGCTTTTTTTTTTGTTTTATTTTCTTACTGCTGGATTGTGTTTCTTTTGTTTTAAGATATTTTGACTGCAATCCACCCCGAATACCTTATTTGAGTGAACATGGGATATAAATGTTTTATACATAAACAAATACATATGTGGTATATTTATATTACTTTTCTCATAGCTGCAGTGTTTTCCATTCCCTTACTTTGCGGGTGAGAAATCTTTTGGTTCTCCAGATGTCATTGGACTACAACTCCCATCAACCCCAGCCAACACAGGTCCAGGTGAGGGATGCTGGACATTGTAGTCCAGCAGTATCTGGAGAGCCACAGGCTCCCCCACCTTTCCCTTGCATAGCTTACCCTCACCACTGCTCTGTGAGGATTACTGGGAGGGAACTGACAGTGGATGGCCCACAACAACCCACTGAGCTCACAGTTCAGGATTTGCACCCAGTCCTCTAAGTCTGACTAGGCAGCCACTTGTGTGGACAGAGCCCGGGAAAAATGTTAATGGGAGCTTTTCCCGCAGGGCCCCTTGCACATTTTACTTTCTAGCTTTGCCTATTCTTTACATATCACTTCACAGTCACACAAGTAGTTACTTAGAAAACATGCTCTGAGACAATGGGGACCTTGAGAGGCCTAAGAGGGGATCTGAACCCCTTGCTGACAGTCCATCCCAAAGTAATTGCTCCCAAGAGTGGCCATCACTCACTTCGGTTTCCACATGTTTATTTTGCAATCTGTCACCAATGGCTGCAGCCTTTCGGGTAGCTAGCCTTTTAAAATTCCAGCTCCTTTCTATTTTAGTGGGTAACTTTTGCAGAAACAAAGCAGGGAATCCTCTGAAATGGAGCATTTAGCTACACTGAAGGGCACTACAGTATTCGGGCTCTTAATATGGGAACTTGACCCATGCCACACTGCAGGGAACAGAGCAATGGAAGTAGTCCTTAATTATAATGCCTTTTGGGAATACACTTACCGCCAAAGGTCCAATTATCTTACGGAAGTGAATTGCCTTTGCTGGCGCCATCCCACAAAGGCACCCAACTAGAAGGTAAGCGTCATTGCCGTCAGCCATTCTGCCTGTTGGTTATACTGAATTTTCATAATTCATCCTCATCACTGCACTGTGAAGATTACTAGGAGGGAACTGAGGCAGACAGAGAGTGGCTTCCATAAAGCAATCCACCAAGTTTTGTAAACTGTAGATTTCTGTACTGTACCTTTTTTTGATTCTTCTATCGATAACACTTTGTGACTTTGTTGACAACACTGCCCGTTCCTTTTCTTTTCACTATTTATTGCCTCTGTGAGCTGGTACATGACACCCAGACATTATGCCCTCATTTATAACCACAGGTTGGCTCTTCTCCCTCAGTGCTCCATTGAACACTGAGAGGAGCTGGAAACTAAACATTATGAGGAACAGTTGAGGAAGTTGAACATGTTTAGTCTGGAAAAGAGGAGAGTGAGAGGCGATATGATGGACATCTTCAAATATCTAAAGGGCTGAGCAAGCTTGGTTTCTTCTACTCTGGAGGGTAGGACCCAAACCAATGGGTTCAAGTTACAAGAAAGCAGATTCTGACTAAACATCAGGAAGAACTTTTTGACACTAAGAGCTGTTCAGCAGTGGAACGGACTCCCTCACAAGGGGAGTGGAATCTCTTTCATTGGAGGTTTTTAAGCAGAGGTTGGATGGTCATCTGTCATGGATACTTTAGTTGAGATTTCTGCATTGCAGGGGGTTGGACTAGATGACCCTTGTGTCCCCACCAACTCTAAGATTCTGTGATTCTAGGAATGTAGAATAGAGAAATCAAGTCAACTGACTGAGTGAATGCTAATTACCACAAGTGGCTGCATCATGGGCATAATATTTTGTGTGTCTGTTGACTGATAAGGAGAGGGACAATAAGTATTCCTTGTTTTCAGGTGCTACTTTTGGATTTCCCCCCATTTAACTCTGGTGCCCTCTTGCCTGAGAAAAACCAGTTGCTCCTGTAGTATGTTTGTGAGACTAGGAGTGTCAGAAGGCTTCTCTAAGCACCATAATTCAGCTAAATGGAAACAGAGATTAATCATGGTTGACAGAATTAAATAGACTCATTAGAACTCCTCATGCCACTAGAAAAACAGTAGTAGTAAATGCTAAAAGAAATGGAAACAAGGACTTCAGAGCCAACTTTCTTATTATAAGGGGAGGAGAAATGGGTGTATGAAAGCAATTAGATTATCGGCAGTGAACTCTGGTTGTTTATCTGGACTAAGGACCTTGGTAATTTGATGCTAAACTCCTCTATTTTGGTTTAGCTTAGCATAGCAAAAGGTATATTAGGACTCCATTGGAATATTGGTCTAGTGTTTCCAACCTTAAGCTTAAAAATTTGAACTCTTTTAAAATCACTTATTCTTTCATGTCACAAGTTATTAAAATTTACAACATGGGGGCTCTTATCCTGCCCCATTTCCAGTATTTTCAATTTTTGTTCCTATTTCCCCCCAATATGCTAGAAAAGATGGCAATCCAAGAAAGAAGTCAGGATGTGAGAGGTTAATTTGTGACTCTCATTTTTGTACAAAAGGTGCATTATCTGAATACTTTAATGTTGTTAAACCTGCCAGCTTTTTAATAAATCACAGTTTATGAAACATTGGGAAGGATCATCTTGACATTGCAAAATTTCACAATGTGAGGAAGAATGTATGAAAAACATGAACACCTTATGGAGGTTGTTTTGAGAAATAATAAATTTGTTTTGAACACATTCAGACCTCAACCTTTTTCCCTTGAATGTGATTCTGACTTTTGTGAATGTGACACTTCCCTGCCATGAATTAGACTTCTGCTTCACTTGCTATTAATCCCTGTATAGTCTTAACTGGGTACCAACTTTGGCCTGGCTTTGAACCCATTTACTAAAAGCAGAGGGTTATGTAACCCATTATTTCGTTCTCTTGAGGTTTGTAATTTATTACCTAAAAAAAAATAAAAAAAAATTGGTACAGCTAAGATGGATAATCAGAGATAGGATATAGCATGTTCTATTTGATGGGGTGATGCGAAGTAAGAAGGCCAGGATAGGAGTGGGAGTGACAAAGCATCTATTTTTCTACAGCAATAAATGTAGTTCCTTCTGTGTGTTGTGAGATGGATAGATCTTTAGAGGCCATCGGAATCTGGAGGTGCCTTCAGCAGTCTCCCTGACTTCTCTGTGCTTATCTGCCAATGCTAGCTGCTCCGGAAAAGGGAGCAATTAATCCAGGTCAGACTTGTGAATGGTCATTTGTCATCCTGCTGTGTAACTAACTAAACTTCCTTTTTAAATGACTACTTTGTCCAGATCAAGGTTGTATGTCTCCTTCATTTCCTGCCATTGTCCCTCCCACCACCACTATTACATTTTGCCCTATATCTCTGTCCGAATTTGAGAGCAGCTGGAATTAGGTTCCTTGCTGATGTTCCGTCTTGGGGACAGAACATAAGGACAGCCTTGCTGGTTCTGGTCCAGCATTCTGTTTCCCAGAGGGTCCAGCCAGATGCCTATGGAGGCTCCTAAGCAGGGCCCAAGGGCAACAGTCCTCTCCTGATATTGTTTCCCAATATCTGGTATTCAGAAGCATGGTGCTTCTGACTCTGGATATACTAGTACAGTGGTGCCTCGCAAGACGAAATTAATCCGTTCCTCGAGAGTCTTCGTCTAGCGGTTTTTTCGTCTTGCGAAGCAACCCTATTAGCGGCTTAACGGATTAGCGCTATTAGCGGTTTAGCGGCTATTAAAGGCTTAAAGGCTTAGCGGATTAGCTGCTAAAAGGCTATTAAAGGCTATTAAAGGCTTAGCAGATTAGATAAAGGGGGAAAAGCGAAAAAAATCTCAAGACTTGCAAGACATTTTCGTCTTGCGAAGCAAGCCCATAGGGAAATTCGTCCTGCGAAGCAACTCAAAAACGGAAAACCCTTTCGTCTAGCGGGTTTTCCGTCTTGCGAGGCATTCGTCTTGCGGGGCACCACTGTATACATCCATCATGAGTAGGTAGCTATGGAACATTTCTGTTACGAAAAGTTTTGGGATATTTGCAGGAAGCTATGGGCCACACATGGATTGCTGCTTATGCCATGTGGCTGTCCTGATGGTTTTGAGGAAGCAAGTTTTGAGACAAGACTTATTTTTGCAAAAGCCATGTTGATTGTTTTCCAGCTAGATTTATCCTTCTGAATGCCTGATAATTGTATATTTAATTATGCTTTCTACCAATTTATCTAGAGCAGTTGTAGATATCTGACCTGTAATTTCTCAGATCACCCTGGACACCCCCCTTTTTTAAAAACGATGTGTTACTTTGACCACTTTCTAGTCTTCAAGTACAGAGGCCAGTCTTCGGTACAAGTTATATATTTTTGTAGGTGATAAGCAATTTCATATTTGAGTTCTTTTGAGAACTCTCAGATGAATAACATCTCAATTCAGTGATTTGTTAGTTTGTGAGACAGGCCTAAAACATCATCTCTTGTCACTACTATTAGCCTCAGTTTTTCAGACTCCCTTTCTGAAAATGTCACTTTAGGTGTGGGTATCTGCCCCATGTTCTCTACAGTGAAGATGGATGCTAATAATTCAGTTTCACTGCAATCTCCTTATCCTTCTTTAGCACACTCTTTGACTTTTTTTATGTTGTTGCCAAACAGCTTCCCTAACCACTTTCCTGTTTGTAATATATTTGATTATTTTTATTGTTGGTGTTAATGCTTTAGTAATACGCACCTCCAATACCTCTCTCTCTATCTCTGCATTCCTTATGGCATTTCTTTTGCCGATGTTTGTGTTCCTTTTTGTTCTCATTTGGGTAAGACGTCCATTACCTAACCATGCTTCCTTGTTGCCTCAAAGAGCAAAGTGGAGGTGGATTTCCTGGGTGAGAGGCAGTCTGGAAGACTTGGTGGAGTGATGAAGGGCAGTGAGAGCCGTTAAATTTCTGTGTTAAGTGTGAAACGCCATATAATGTTAGTTTATAATTTAAGAGACATTCCCTTATTTTAGAAAATTGGCTAACCCTTTCATACTAAGTTGTGGACAATGGCCCACGTTCCCATGGAGTTGTTGGAGCAGAGGAATGACCAAGACTGTTGTACAAACTGATGACTGAATTTGCAGGTTAAATTACAGTTTATGCCAGTCTTCATTCTGTGTTTTATCCTCATTGACACAAAATTATTACATACCAAACTTTAAAATCACATACAGACACAGAGACATGGCCAAATAGCTATCTAGCAAAGCGAGTGTAAACTGGCAATGCTTGGTTGGGGTTCTGTTCTGCATCTTGGTTTCTGATCAATGGTCTGGAGGCAGCTAGTGGCCTCCTGGAACGAACCCAGTACCTTGGCTCACGATCTAAGCTCCCATATTTCATGGAATTGGAAGGAGTCTCAATGTTTGTGCATGCCAACAACCTGTAGCACTGAAGTGGTATTTGTCATTCCCAAACTGTTTGTTCTAGGGCCCATTAATTAATACAGAATCTGCTTTCCTTTAAACTGCCTCTTAGTGTTATTGTCTTTGCAGGCAGAGGGCAATTATCCCCTGTCCTTTTTGAGGAACTCTTTTGCATCATGTGGCCCTTTGGAGGACATCTGACTCTCAGCAATTTTATTAAAACTCTTGGGATTTTAATTCTAATTTTATGATTTAATCCATAAATCATGTATATAGCATTATTAAATGTAAATAGCTATTAAAGTGACTTACTGTGACTTTGATACAGATCAACAGCAAAGGAGTTCAGAATCAAACTGGGGGAGAAGCCTTGTGGGTTTCTTTTAAAGATCGATTCTTCGACAATTTCATGGTTTGAAGTAGGGGTAAAGAGGTTCTGCGTGGTTGTTGTTTTTTTTAAAAAAGTTGAAGTATTCTCAAGCCTACTTCTTGGAATTTCTAAATAAAGATGCTGTTTCTAGCCCTATTGTGACAGTTTCTTCCTGTTTTCTGCTAACCTAACAACACTGTTACATAGCTCATACAGGAAATCAGGGCACAAGGCAATATGAAGACCTCACTTCCTGGCCTGAGTTGACCATACAATGGGATGGAGGCAGAGGGGTCACACGTGTAGTCTGATGAGGGAAAGGGCTTGCATTAGCTAGAGTGGAGTGGCAGGGAGTGTGGGATACGTGCCAAACGTATTTTTAAATTAAAAAAGCAGGAATTTACTGCCCATTCCCACAATAACAAGGAAGGCCTGATGCCTAGCTAGACATAATACAATGGGGATTGGTCACGTGAGCTTGGAGAGAGGAATGGACCGTGTGACTGTAAAGGTATTTGGCATTGTTCTGTGCACTTGCATGTGGAACCAAATTTTTTGCATCATTGTGGTCCTTAGGGGATTGGAAAACGCTATAGGGTTTACATCTGCATGTATCCCTTCCTGCTATTTGGATCCTAGGCGTAGGGTGGGGAAAGAGCTGGCGTATCCCAGGGCTCAGCTTTGTTGCTGACTTTGACCCAGAGGACAATGCTGGCAAGTCCAATATGACACCTGCTTTCATTCTGAATTGTTTTGGCTATACTGCCTCCTTTTCTGCCATAGTCACTTTTATTTAATTAGTTAATTAATTAAACTTTTTTAAAAATTCCACTCCAGCCAAAAAAGCACCCAGAACAGCTTACAAATCACAAAAACACACAGAAGAAGTCTGCTGGATCAGGCCAATAGCCCATCTAGTCTAGTTTTCACAGTGTCTGACTAGATGCTTGTGGGAAACCAGCAAGCAGGAAGAGAGTCCTACTCTCAGACTTAGCATCTAAAAAAGACATGGGGAGAAAGGGAGAAAGCAATAAATAAGCTCAGGTTAAAGCTCAGGTTGCTCTAAGAACCAATTGGTCTCTCAACTGCGTTGATGGAGAGACCTTGTATCTCTTCTCTTCCCTCTCCTGCTGATTAAGCTCTGGTCTCAATGTCCATTCTGTCATCACACCCACCCACCTTTAACCAACTTTGATCATTGCTAAAAGTCGATTTCTGTGATGCACGTGAAGCATCATGAATCCCAATCGTTGTTTCTTTTCCAGACAGAATGTGCCAACTACATCAGAGTGCTTTACCCTTTGAACCGGACACACTTACTGGCCTGTGGAACAGGGGCTTTCCACCCAATCTGCGCTCTTATCTACGTGGGACACCGAGGAGAGGTAAGGAAGGATGTCCTTTCCCCCCTCTGCGATAATGTTAGCCCTGTGACACTATAAATATATGATGTGGGAAGATCCGGCATGTAGAGGAATGCAAAGACATGTGGTTCCCATCACCAAAGACTTAAGAGCAGGGCAGGTAGCAGGTAGATCAGGATCTGCTGGTAGATGGGCAGAAGCAACTCTCAATAGTTTAACAACAGTAAGTAAAAGTTTTAAGTGAAATATCTGCCGTAGCCAGTCTTGACCTATTTGCTTATCTCTTAACCTTTGACTATATCTTTGTTCCAGTGTGCTGGCCACTATGAGAGTTCTGTGTTAGAACCCCTGGTATACTGTAACTCAGATGTAGATTTGTGTCTGTAATACAGCGTACGTTTTATGACGTGCTACAGGTAATTGACTCTGTCACTGAGCCCATATCTTATGGGATGTCTTAACTCTTCCGTAGGTAGACTGTTGCAGAAGAATTTAAGAAGAGCTCTGTGGAATCAGGATCTAGCTCACCATTTGGTTCCCCAAGTGTCAAACTAGGTGCTTATGGGAAAATACATGCTGGACTAGGTAGATCAGGAGTTGAGGGATGGGGGAAGTTTTTACAGCCAAGATCTTTACTTAGCCACCCACCCTGCGGGACATTTTTGACAGTCACCTAATGTCATTATGACGTCAGGTGACACCCTCAGAGGGACTCGCTGATTAGCGCTGAAAGTGACCCTATGATCAGCTGATTGCCTCTGGCAGGACAACTTCAAAGGGCTCGCTACAGGCCCCAGTTTATGTAATTGCATTCAATTTGGATTCAAACCATGCCTGAAAATGACCGTTATTTTCTTTGCAGAGGAAAAAATACTTGAATCCAAACTGTGCTTGGAAATGGACTTTAAAGCAGCTTGCAGTGAGCCCCTTTGAAGATGCACTGTCAATGAAAGCATACCTTCAAACGGGTTTTCTGACAGCCCTTTGAACACAGGAACCCACACACAACCTGCCCCAAATGCACTAGGAAGTTCCCCAATGGAAACTGCTTAGTGCAATCCTACCCATAACATAGAGAGCAATGAAATTGTTGGGAGGGGGATGAGGACAGGGCCATGGGATAATCCTCTCTTTCTCCCTCAGTGCATGAGGTTTGAATGACTGAAGTGTGCTCTAGGCTCAGGAACTTTCTAGCTTTGCATTTCCTCAACAATCTTTCCCAACCATACATTTATATTGCCCTATTAAACAGAAAGGCTGATTTAAGTGCTTGTATTTCTTTAAACAGGGGGGAAAAAAACCTTGTTGCCCAATAAACTGGACTGTAATATCAGATGCACTTAAGTCTTCTTGTTGTTATGGGTTAATGTGGCTGGACTTGTGGAATTTGTCCAACCATGTAAGCATCCAGGAAAGAAATGGATTTTGGGTCTATTAATCTGTCAGGCTGATTGATGCTCTACTGTGTATCCGACCCCATCTCATACGACCTCTCCTTTCTGGTTGTTTTTTTAAAGAGAAATCCACGCCCCCTTTATTTTTTGGACACTCACTCCAAGCACATTCTGTTAGCTATTTGAAGGGAAGAAGGAACAAGAAAGATGGCTGTGTAAAAAAGAGAGAGAGAGAGCGCCTACAATGGGGAACAGAGCCAAGAACCAGGGAAGAGGCAGGTGAAATTGAGATCTCAACGACTGTGCTCAGAAGAGAAGCAGCATGTTCTTAATAATTTGCATTAAACCACCTGTCTCTTGGGGTGGGCAGACAGACATGAACACCAGCTATTTCTCTCCCTGTGCAACAATGCTTGGCTGCCTCATGTGAGAACTACAAGTATGGCTGGCTGATGTCATGACTGGGAGAGTCCAGAACACCAATTTTGGACTGCGGTTTTATTTGTCTGGTGTTGGGAGCTACTAACCATATTGCTAAACTTCCTACTCCAAGAAAGGAAGGCCATTGTGCATTAGACATGGATCTCATTTACTAGCTCAATCCCTGTGGTTCTTTTCTGGACTGATTCCTGAAGTTGTACAGTCTTTACAGATTTAGACAGTGCTTGCTTCCTGCTGGGATATATATATATAATTTTATACACACACACATATATATTAATTATAAAATATGTGGGTGGCATTTCTCTCCCTCCAAGCTTTTGATTTCCCTCTGAGCCGTTGCTCATAAATCAAGCTGGCCTTAGCAGAAAGGTCATTCCGCTTCACCCTGTAACCCCTCTCGCCTGGGAGGATTTGACTCGCAGAAGCTTTTATTGAGTGCATGAGAGAAAGGACCCTTTCAGCACAGCTGTTCATCGTGAGCAAAAGGGATGATAGGACTGTCCCTCTGACATCTCACCCCATAACCATATCCGGCAGTGCCTTCCCCCTTGCTAAACGCTCATGCTGATTTAGCCACGTTATTGAGAGGCGTACCAAAATACAATTGGGGTCCTGTGCTGCTGCTGCTGCAGCATGTCAGAAATTTAACAAGGCCTAGCCTTGGCCTTATATTGGCCTGCAAACTGCACTGGGGAACAACCCTATGCTTGGGTGTGGGTGGACAGTTGCATGATGAAGACATTTAATTAGGCAGCTTGAAGAGGCTGCTTTGTCTGGCCAAGTGGATAACTGGCAGGAAGGCAGGAAAGCACAAGCTGTTCCAGGCATTGCAAAGCAGGAGGGTGAATAATACAGATTCCCAGCATCCTTAGGCCCACTGTCTCATATATGCCACTTTTTAATTTTTTTATTCTTATGATGATCTGTGGTGCAGGATCAAAAGTGTCATAACTGCTTACCATCTGAAAGTCAATACAGAGCAAAAGCCTTTCACCAAAATCTTTTAGACAACCCAGCAGGTTGGTTTGGGAAGGAACTCTTTGTTCATCTGGGATCCGGGGTAAGAATGTTCTAGACTAGAGTCCTCACTCTCTCCCTGCCCCTCTGATCCCATCAGGGGTTACATAACTGTAGTCTGGATTGTAAAATCATTTCCTGGCATACTGGAGAAATGAGGAGATGGTCTTCTGAGCTCTTCTGAAAGTCTTACTGACTCAAAAAGTTCCTCTTGTTCTGGCAGTTTTCTCTGTTGCTGTCTCTCCAAGTCCCAGCTGTTAACATCATGGGCTTGCCTCTCAGTTTCCTGAAACTATGACTGATTAAACTTATCAGAAGAAGACAGGAAAGATGAATAGTGCTCAGGCCTCTGTTAATAATTTTCTGAGTAACCAAATCTGAAATAAGTACAATTCCTTATTGTAAAAACACACCAGAGCCAAAATGATTTCAATAATAAACAAATTAAAGGGCTATCAGTATTGAGAAATATACAGATTTAACATGTTCACACTGAGAACATAACTACATGTGGTGTTGATTGTATTGCTTACAGTCATGCTGCCATGATCTAATTATTTACTTAGAGGTGCACCCCTGGTTTTTTAATTGAAACGGGTGTATGGGAAAGGAAAAAATAATCGCTTCGCCCTTCAGTGTCAAAGAAAATGGCCCAATGGGGGCTTTTGACTAGTGTGTGTGTTGCTGCTGCTGCTGCTGCTGCTGCTGCTGCTGCTGCTGCTATTGAGATTGCAGTGGAGAGGGAAGAATTAAACTTCTCCTTTCTGCACATCGGGGCTCTAATTAAAAAATCCAAAACAGGGTCAATGTAATTGCAAGTGACCAGCTGGAGTCATGTGAAGTTAAGGCCCTAATTTTCGCTGAATAATGTCAGCATCCATTTTTCTTATGGTTAGATAGAAAACTTCATCCTGGTCACTCTATGCTAGCATCCCATGCTCGTCCTAAGATGTTTTCTGATGCATCTGTCCAGGCTCTCTTCATTCCTTCCACATGAGCACTCTCTCATCACCTCTGAATTTCAGACTACCCACTCAGAGAGCTGTGGTTCTTTTAAGCTCTCTTGATGCCTTATTTGTCATTTGTGCTCTTCTCTCCCCAGCATGTGTTCAGCTTGGATCCTTCCAGTGTAGAAAGTGGCCGGGGCAGATGTCCTCACGAGCCCAACAGGGCATTTGCAAGTGCTTTCATTGGTAGGTGCCAAACTAGATCAGTGTGAGTTTTGTACCCTAGCAGCAGGGTTGAATGTCCTTATTTTTATGTTTATATATTGCTTTCTGCCAAGGCATTCAAGGCAGTTTAAAACACTAAACAAGGTTACAAAATATTAAAAAGCAGATTTGCCTTCAGCGTTTGGTGGTTTCCCAGGAAGCTAGTAGTGTGAGCTCCTTGCCTGGCCTTTGCCTCTTCTGTTCTTTCCCTCAGAGATCATGGGTCTAAGTCGGCCCAGGGAAGTTCGTGGAGGGGTGGCCCAGCCATTCTCTCAGGCTCTTTCATGGCCACCTCAAGAGCTGGGGACATGGTCTTTAACCACTATTTTAGGATGGGGAAGCCTCTTTGATCATGTGATTTTACTGCTTGTCAGTTCTGACAGAAAAGAAAAGGCTACAAGCAAGCTACTGTACCTTCATAAACCCACACTGCAGCCAGCTGCTCTCCGAAGTGAAAACTGGAGGTAGCTCAGGTTGTCCAAACCAGTTTTAAAAGTGGCCAATAAATTGCACCTACAACCTAAAGTTAATACAAAATTCAGTAGTGAATTCTTTATAGGAAAGCCTTTATAGAACCCCCTCCCCAAAGATAGGTTTGGGGGGTTGAATGTTCATTGGAGGCATCCATACTTCTCCTCAGTTCAGTGTATGGTTTGTAAATTACCGGTATTATTATTATTATTGATTATTGAGTTTCTTACCTGCCTTCACCATAAAGTGCCAGGGTGGGTTACAGCAGTTGATATGTGGTCCCTTTCATAGGTAAGACTATGCCCCCCCCGCCCCATAAAAAGTGTGCCTGCTTCTCAACTATATTTCATCTAATGAACTTGCAGTATACCCCAATCATGTGTGTTACATACCAACATTTCAACTAGGAAACTTGGCATGTGAAAGGAGGGTAATCTGTCAGTGACCGTACTTGCATGCTTGTGTAAGGCATTTTCTGAACTCTTTCAAGATCTCTGTGCTGATGTGTATATAACTCAAAGCTGTGGTCTATTAAACTATGGTTTATTAAACCATAGTTTGGTGTTATGTTTGTACTTTCACTAATGGCTTCATTATTGTTTGTTTATTGCCAGTGAACAATGATCTGAAGTCTGTTGTTTAACTATGGCTTGGCATTATGTGTGAACTCAGCATCCTTCCACACCATACCATAGTTTGTTTGGACACCTCAGACGCTCACCAAGAAAAAGGACACAAGGCACAAGTAGCTGGAAAACTGACCAAATTTTGAAGAAACAAGCCATGGTTCCTTTGTCTGTCTGGGGAACAACTCGTGGTTAACTCATGACTTTTTCAACCATGGCTTAGTGTTATAATGTGTGAAACAGGCCAAAATCTCCTCTTTTTGATGTAGTTGTATAAAACAGGTTTATGTGACTTTTCAGCCAAGCAATTCCTGTGCTGTGAAGATTGGTATAAGGGACTTGCCAAGACTATGACCTTTGAAAGAACCAGTGCCCAAATCAATACTCACCATTAATTCATTAGGAGATTTTAGGCAAGGCTAGCCTCTCTCTGCCTCCCATCTACAAATACTGATGTACTTTATATGATGGTTATAATATAGGATGATAATAAACATCATGTATGGGAAGCTTTTTGAATATTCTAGTGTGCTTTATAATGCTACGTATTGTTTTTCTTGTTAGTGCATGACTGTTATGCAAGGATTGATTGTTTCTGTGGGGCTTCTTTCCCAGGTGGAGACTTGTATACAGGACTAACAGCAGATTTCTTGGGCAGGGACTCTGTGATCTTCAGAACTATGGGACACCGCTCCCCTCTGCGCACTGAGATGGACCAGCGGCTGCTTAATGGTAGGAGAACAGGATGTGAAGTGGAGTGGAGGCCAAAGGCTACAATAAAATTGTACTTAGAAAATAAGAACAGGGAGTTGTCTGTATAACTAAGCCTCTTTGGAATATATGCCCATTAATAAGAGGACACCTTGTGTGCTGCTTCTTTTGGTAACCACTTGTTATTAAAGTGAGCTTATTAGTATTTAATTGGGAATGTTTTATATGGTTTTATGTAAACTGCTCACAGGTTTTTCAAATTGAGTTGTACACAGTATAAATCTCGTTAAGTACAACTAAACAAATCATGCCAAGAGGAAGCCTAAAAAGGTTTAAAAATAAAATCAAATAAAATAAAGGTCTGTGCCATGCTTCAAGCGGTTTCTGGTGATTTTTTTCTAACGTGCCCGTACAATATTTTTCTTACAGCCCCCAAGTTTGTTGCTGCTTATCTGATCCCAGACAATGATGACCGGGAAAATGACAAAGTCTACTTTTTCTTCACTGAGAAAGCAGCAGAGTCGGACAGCAAAGGCCGGGCCATCTTTAGCCGTGTGGGGAGGGTGTGTGTGGTGAGTTCGTGGGGTCTATTTTGTCTGTAGAGTATGGCGAGCGTTGCACGAGGAACTGAATGTATGGAGACCAACAGCTTGGTGCATTACTGACTCCAAAGCTATATTATTGGACATATGTGCTTACATGTATGTGTGTGCCTGCATGTCAGTTCCTCCCACCATTGTCACTTGAAATGTACTGCATGTCACAGGACAAGGCTAGTCTACTGTTCATCCTAGGTGGACTAGCCTGGAGCAGCCCTCATAGTGTACGATCAAAATAAAGGGTGACCATACACTGGTAACACCAGAGAAGCTCCCTGATTCTTTTGCCACAACATAAGGCTGCATTTGACTTTGGCTCAACTCTCCTGTTCAGAATCTCAGGTTTTTATATGTCCCAGTGGCTTGATTGTGGCTAAATCCCATTACCAATCCCTTGTGGCCCTTCGATTTCAGAACCAGCACACTCCCTGGAAATAACAGGCTATTACTGTACTAGCCATAGGATGCTAATGTAAAGCCAGTGGAAGGGGTTGCATAAGCCTTGGATGGGCTTAAATACAGAGAGAGAGAGAGAGACAGATCTTCTTGGACAAATTTAGCTACCTAAAATGAGGGCTTTCAGGGGACCCAACACCTTCCCTGATTCATGCACACCTTGGCAATATTATTTATGCTTTCAGCTTCAGCTGACTGTAGGTTCATCACCATTTTTTGTATCATAATCATGATGTCAGATCAACTAGTCAGATTTGGTGACATGACAATGCCCCTAGTACTAGAAGGGCCACTCTGAACTAAGAAGGACACTGAAGTGCAGCCATTTGGGGCTGCAAGGTGCTCATAATGGATTGGAGCCCACTTCCTTCTATGTGCAGAATCTCCCTGCAGCAACAACAACAATAATAATAATAATAGCCCCCTGCCTGCAAAGCTCTGGGCCCAATATTACAAGTTTTCAAATCTATTAACGAGGGCTGAGCCCGTTTGGGCTGAGCCCTGGAATCAGATCTGCTTCCGTACTGCCTTTGGCTCCTGATCAACAGCTACAGTATAGGAAGTCTGTTTGGCACGCACAGCATTTTTAAGCACTTCAGTCAAGACAGTGCCTGGCTTGAGAGGGCTGCATAAATCTCTTGTGGCTGCAAATGTTTCTTTTCAAGCCAAGGTTGGGAACATGGAATTTTTTCTTTTTGGTAATTCTGTATAATGTGGGGGGGGGGGGAGGAAAAAGCATGGTGGGGGGATTCCTTCAAAGCCTTTGAATTCTTCAGCCTTTCATCCACATGGAAACTCCCCCGTTTTCTGTACATGTCACTTCCAATTCCAACCTTCCTTTTTCCCTAGATCTTTTGCACCACAGCTGCTTTGTGCTCACTTGCTTTTCCTCCAAAGGATTCCATCAAAGGGTCTGATGGACCATCCTGTGTGTATCTTAATTTAGCTGAAGACTTGCATTGCAAGGAAATGGACTAACAGCAGAAATATTTTCTCTGTGCCCATTGCCATCTGTTTTATAGAAGAGTTGTTGTATTCATTTCTTGGAGATTTCCATAAAGGCACTTTCTTGTAGGGTGAAGCAGAGACTTCTGCTGAGCATGTGTCAGAACAGAGAGCCTGTGCCCTTTCCTGAAGGTATCTTTCTCTCTCTGCCCTCATTTTTAAAGGCTTGAAGTTAAATAATTTATACTTGAGAGCCATTATGGAGCTGGAACTCTGAGGTTTTAAAGACTGAGTTATGCTGCTTTGAAAATCTTCAGCTGATTTTTTTTATTTATCCCTGCTGCTTAACTTTGTGCTGTGTTTATATATTATTATGGTTTGGAGGGATTATATTTTAGTTCTTCTATTGTAAAGCTGCCCAGAGAACTCCGGCTACGGAGCGGCGTATAAATGTCATTAATAAGAAAGAAATAATTGCTTTGAAACTGTTTTAATTGTCATATCTTGCCCAAATGGGTATAGAAACATTTTTGTTGGTTGGGCTGAAACTGGAGTGCTTAACACTAAGTATCCTTTTGAATTATGCTAACTTTATTTAACTTAATGTTTTCAGAAAGGACAGAGGCTTGAAGGAGCTTTTCATTTCATTTCATTTTGTCTTAACATTTCAACCTGTAAAATTGACTTAAGTTCCGTAGCAGCTCCTTGCTAAAGCAGCCTTGGTTTTTAAGGTGCTAAACTCAGTCTCAGTCAGTTTTATTGCACATAGCCAAAGGCTGCCGCAATGTACACAGAATTATTTGACAATTAAAAGAAAATATACTGAATTGGTAAAAAAAGACTTAGGTGCTAAACTAGAATCAGCAGCAAATTTCCTTGCAGGACTGAACTAAGCAAGATGTTAAAGATGTGGTTTAATAGCATGTTTTGTTTCATTTTGTTGTCAAGCAACAACCCTGCAAATAACATTAGGCTCCTGTTAGTATTGCTTAGGGCTTTTCATGAGGTCTTTATTATGTACCACATTTTAAGGCCAGCGTTGTTATCCCAGTATTGAAAATTGAGGGTGGGGCAGAGGAAACAGAAAGACTGAAAAAGAAAAAGACTCAATGCCACCTATTGAGATCATGCCTGGAGGGAGAGTTGTACTGGAAATTTCCCAGTTCAAAAAATAAGCAGAACCCATGTAGAGGTGAACTGGTTCCCAGTGTGTTTGGAGATAATCTATTTGCAAAGGGACTTACACACACACACACACACACACACACACCATTTCTGGAAAAAAACCCTGCTTGGGACTGTTTCTCTTGCAGCTCACTTAAGGGGCTGTTCTTGTTTGTTTGTTTGTTTGTTTGTTTGTTTGTTTTGGTCCTCCTGAGGTTGTTTTTGGCCTTTTTATTGTGTGGACTTCCAAGTTCACAGCAGGGGTGGGAAGACTTTAGGCTTGCAGGGTGAAAACATAAGAAGAGCCCTGCTGAGTCAGGCCAATGGCCCATTAGTCCAGCATCCAATGCCCAACCAGATGCCTGTGGGAAAACCACAAGCAGGACCTGGGCACAAGAGCACTCTATCCTCCTATGGCTTCCATCAACTGGTATTCAGAAGCACTATTGCCTCCATGCCTCTTCTTTGTCTTTTACTAGAACCCTGAGATCCACCAAATAGAGGCAGGGGGAAATTAAAGAATTCTGATGCCTTGCATTGCTCCCCAAACCCCTGATGAAATAATGAGATGCACATTTGTCAGATATCGCTAGAGACGCTAGCTCCAGAGGCATGATGCTGCAACCAAGAAGGCCCTGCTTCATTTCGGGTAGGCTTGTCTAAACAAGAATGTTTTTAGCAGGGGCCATGGCAGTAGAATTAGGAGCAGAATGCGTCTCTCTGAGTCATGGCAGAAAGGGGGAAAGTTGTTTTATGAGATAAGAAGAGAAGAAGAACCCTGTTGCACCAGACCAAAGACTTACGGGAAGCTACAGGCAGTAGTGAGCACAGTAGCCTTTTCCCACTTGTGATCCCCAGCAACTCCTATCTAGAGGCAGAATAGCCAACATGACAAGTAGCCTATTTTAACCTTATCCTCCACGACCCAGATAATTGGTAATTGACCATTGACCCAGGCTGTTTACTCAAGGCTGTTTCACATTCTGCTATACTGAATGTGAACAGCTTGAAAACGTTTTCTTTTTTAAATCCAAGGGAAAATATAAAGTGAAAGATAGACTTTCCAATTTCATTTGTGTTACGGAGAACTGTTCTTAATTGGATCTATTTTGGCAGTACGGGTGGAGATAAAAGAGGGGAAAGCTGGTTTGCAGGAAAGAACTGGGGAATAAACAACAGGTAATCATGGAGGGAAAAATCCATAGGAAGTGGGGATGTTATGGATGCATCTTGCTTGTTGAGAGAGGCCCCCTGTCCCTGATCATGCATTGGATATGCATCATAACAGCATCATACCCTAGGAATGTTGATGAGAACTACACCATATGGAACAGAGAAGGTCTACCCCCTGCTTTGCTTGCTTTCTCTCAGAGTGCCATTTGGTTGGGATTGCTCCAGTACTTTTGGATGAGGACTCCATCAATATGCTCATTTGCTCTTACCCCTCCTTTTGTCTTGTGGGATTCCACAGCTGCTGCATTCACTGTTGGGAGGACACTGCCAGATTAACATCTAGATGAATCGACTGCACTGTGCCACATCATCAGGCCTCATGGCTATTGATTCTCCATTGCAATACTGATGGGTAAAAACATTGTTGTTAGCCACCTAGAGCTGACCTCCGCATGGATATGTTAGCCAGATGTAACATTCCAGTTATTTCAACCTTGAGCCTTTGGCTTCTGGGAAGCCTGAGAGTTACCCTGTCAGGGACTGGTTGGATGCGGAGGAATGGTGGGAGGGACCAGTTGGTGGTCTTTCAGTCTCGGCAACTGATCCATGAGAAATATCTACTAGGGATGAATTGCTGTGCTCATTAGGTCGGACACTCTGCCAAGTCTGTGCAGATTGTGTTCTTGCTAATAAAGAGTTAACTCCAACTTGAACGGTGTGATTTACTGCCGGCTCACTCCTGACACACCCTAATGGAATGAAGGGCCTAAGAGCTGGATTCAGTTCCTGCTTCTGCCACTGAAAAGTAAACTCTCCTCTGCTGCAAAGACATAGGGGAGAAAAAAATAATCAGCTGGAAATTATCGTGGAGGCACCAGCCTGTAATAACTCAAATTCTTTGGAACTAGTACGAAACAGTATGCTGAGGATAGAGAGGGGAGCTGGCAGCTTTCCATGCAAACAGAAAAGTTCTGTTGGCTGTGAATTCCTTGCTCTCCTCCTAATCCTAGAAATAAACATTTAAGACACAGCGATGAAGCAGTTATTTATTGGATTAATCAATCCCTACACAGAGAGGAACTCTTTGTTTGTTTGAGACGCAGAAACGTGGATATAGTCTGACTTCCAGAGCTGGCAGCTTGCCATATGAGTCAAAGGAGATGCACTACTTTGTTGTCTTATCTTCTTTGGTGTCTGTTGCAGTCACAAAATACGCACAATGAAAACTACTTAAGCTGCACCACCGGTTGGATCTCTCAAGAGCATTAACACTTTGTGCCCATGGGATTCAGGGCTCAATTAGCAGCTGTGTTTAGCTTGCGGGGCTTTGGGTAAGGAAAATGAATGTCTTTCTGGGAAATTTTTCTTATAATCCTAAGATTAGCGAGTTCTGGCCCAACTGCACTAACCGCTGCTTAGTTTCCAGGCTCAACCTTTTAAGCTCTATACGGCTCAGAACCCCAGTCCCTAAAGGACTGCCTCTTCCCATATGTACCTGCCTGGAGACCACAATTCCAAAATCAGTGGGGAGGGTAGGTAGTGATCAGAGAATGGGCCTTTCCTGTCATTTGGAAATGACAGGAGGCACACCTGGAGGCACACCTGGCTCTGACTTTATTATCATTTCAGCACCGGATTAAAAAGTTTTCATTCTCTTGGGCATGTGGGCAGCTTTAATAATATGATTCTTACAGTTATTCAATCAAGCTTTAGTGTGTGCGTTTTTACAATTGTTGCACTGATAATTGTGCATTGTTCTTAATATGTTTGCATTGGGTGGGGTTTCTGGAATGAGTCCCAGCAGCAGCAGCAGCCCTATGTAAGGTTTTCTATGTGAAATGGGGCTTTCTCCCCTTCTATGCCCCTTGCACCCCCCAGAATTGGCTTGGGAGAACCCCCAGAACTGGGGAAGGGGGAGAGGTGAAGTTGAATTGCAATTTTGGCACTCTTTTCAAGACTGTAAAGAAAGGATTGCAAGTGGAGATAAAAAGATTGCTCAAGCAGCAGGGCATATTGAAGGGAATGCAATAAGACACTGCATACTAAAATAGTTCTTCTGTGTGAAAAGTATAGGAGTTGGAACGGCAGCAGATAACTGTGAAATAAAGGAGCACCAAAAATAGATGGGAATGCAGTATCCTTCAGCATGAGAGTCAAGAGTGTAAAAGCCAAAAAAAGCTTCTTTTGGTATGTGTCTGAAATTGTAGTTGCAGGAAGTGGGGCTACAGATACGTTTACTGATGGTTACATGGACTGAACTGGACATTTCTGCAACATGGTTAAAGCGCTGCTACCAAAAGCTGATGATGTGAGGCTGCAGTCACAGAATTTATTCCAGGCGTCTTAGAATGCAACCTGAGGTACAGTTCCTAAAATCAGCCTCATCAACAAGTGCAATGCAAATCCTAGCAGTCCCCTTCAGGAAAAAAAGAGAGAGGGGAATTTTCCATTCAATTCTCTGCTTGTGTGGTACCCACATTCTTGGGGGGCAGGGAGAGATATAAAACATATGTCTTGGGATAATGAACAAAAAACTGTTCAGCTTCCAAACATAAATCTTTCAGAAACAAAAGCTGAAAATTAAAATGCAAAAAGGCCTCACACACTTTAAAAAAGAAAGAAAAGAAAACATGGTTGATGAATTTGATTTAATATTAGAAATGTGTGCTAGAATAAAAGTTCAGATTTTGTTCAAAAAGCTGATAACGCGGGACTGCCTGTGTGTATCTTTGAAGATGGAATTTCACAACTGGGGATTTACTACTGAAACAGTCCTCCTTTCTGGTGTGTACCTGCAGAGCCCATCTCAGCAGGCTCATGCTATATGAAACAGGGCTTCTCACAAACTTAAAGCATGCAAAAAGCTACAATATTGAATAAAAAATAACTGTAACTGCTGATCACTGCATGTTTTGCAATAAGGGAACCGAAGTTTAGGTTTGACTTTCCCTTGCTCAGAAGCAGTATTTTTGTTTGCTAGTCCTAGTCCACTTAGCCATGCAAGAGAGGTTTCATAGCACATCCTAAAATATGCCCCAGAATTCTCTTCAATGCACAATAATTTCATGGTCTGCATGGCCTCCGCAGGCAGTAACACAGCCTTTTCAGGCAGTAGCTGCTGGAGGGAAGTCAATGCTGAGTGATGAGGTGCTGTAGGACAGAGCTGGGTGTCCCATGTAGTCTCCTCTGTGCCCTCTAAGCTAGCCTGCCTGCTGCCCCATCACCACTGATGTTGAAGTCCAATTTGTTTCTGTTTGTGGAAAGTAGGGGCAGAATCTGGTTCTTTGCTTCAGGGAGCAAAACGTCTTGGACCAGTCCCGTCTCTTGGAAGCCAAGGCTGTGTACCTGTTTACTCTGTGTTCAGTGTGCTCTCACTGCTGGTTTGGGAAGCGGTGTACACACGACGTTAGCCATGATCCATATCCGTTCTGTATCTGTCCTGCCATTTCTTATGGAATACTATATTTTCATGTGTTTTTGCCCAAACCACCTTTGATCTGAATTGAGAGAAAGAATGGCCAGCTGTATTTTGAGCTAATAATGTATGTGTGGGCCCAGGCCAGGTCTGTATGGAAAAAGGGTTTCCCTTGTGTTAGAATGCTTGAAAATGACAGATCTATGGAGTAGAAATGAGAGCAATCTGAATAGAAGCCAATATTTGTCCTTCTCTTGGTTCTGAGTTTTTAGTTTTGCTTTTAATGCCTCTGGAAGGATTCCTAAAGCACAGCTTAAGCATGTCTTGTTTGTTTATTTGTAAAGAGACCTCATATCAGAAGCATCAGCTGCCTCCACTTCTGAGGATCCTTGTTTACTCTTCTCCTTTCAGAATGATGCTGGAGGACAGCGAGTGCTAGTCCATAAGTGGAGCACCTTCAACAAGGCCCGGCTGGTGTGCTCTGTCCCAGGACCAGATGGCATTGATACATACTTTGATGAACTGGGTAAGAGAAACGAGCTCAGGATTGGTTGCCTTTCATAGGATTAGCTCCTCAGTTTGTCAGCTGGAAGCCAAACCTTGAAAAGTGGGGCTTAGTTTGGCAATATGAGGAGAATGGGGGGGGGGTCCATCTCAGTGAACAGTCAGGGGGCACCTCATGGCTACAGCAGTGCTCAAGCTAAGGAAATATGAAAGTGAGCAGTGCTTTGGATGGGAGACCACTAGAAGCCCCATCTCCCAAGACATGGGCCATGTTGTCTGGAGCTAATGAGAATTGGAGTCTAACAACGTCTGGGAGCCACAGCTTTCCCACCCTATGAATAGGCGATGAAGGTAACATACTTTTGCGTTAGGAAATCACTAAAATCAGGACTGGCCCAAGACGTTTTGTTGCCTGAGGCAGGGCAGCAAATGGCACCCTCCCCAACCTAGTCAAGGTGGACAGTTCCTAAAGCTTGCCAGGATTGCCAAAATATTCCACAAGCACTTTTCCTTCTCTCTAGCACTAATAATATAACAACAATATGAACAGTAAACACTTTGCTGCCTTTCTGTAATGCCCCAAATCTGCTGCCTGAGCTGCCTGCCTCATTCTGCATGGTGGTAGGGCCGGCCCTATCAATTGTATGTTGGGGACTACAAGTGTGTTACAGCCTGTGAGTGCCTTCTGGATGGGCCACCAGATTTCAGGAGCTGGGCATTGAGAGCAGTGTGTGATGAAGTGGATGTCAAGGTCACACAGTTCACCTGAGTAAGATATTTGGAAATCGCAGTGGTAGTGCCAAATAACACATACACACACCGATCTTTTCAGCTGTCTCTTTGGTACCAGCATCCATCAGCCCCCAGCTACTTGCATACCATAAGCAATCCAATTGACTAAAGTTTCTTGGCATGTGTATGTTGGTAGGCCAATGATCAAAGTTAGGTGCATGGGAGAGCCCTTTAAATGCTGTGAATCAAACATCTCTTAAACAGAGGATGTCTTTCTCCTGAGGACCAAAGATGGGAAGAGCCCTGAGATCTATGCACTCTTTAGCACCATCAGGTGAGATTATTCTGTTGTTTGTTTGTTTTTTGCTTCTGAGGGGAACCTTGAGATGTCTAGCACTATATACCTTGACCGAACAACTCTCATCCATACAAATCTTCTCTGAGGGCCTCTCCGGATTGGTGTTATTTCTGTGAGCCTATTCTCCAGTATGTCGTTGATGCAATAATAGTGCATTAGTAGTGGATTTATGACAGACTGTGTACATATCATTCCTCTTTGTTAGTTGTTCTCTGATACTTTGCCAGTGTTCTTTGCATTATTGCCATCTGGAGGGGCACTCTGGTACTATTGGGGGACAAAAAAAGAAAATGCCAGAACTTTTGTGGTATGAAAAGTTGCAGGATTTTACCAGGAAGTTACGGGACATGTACTGATCAGAAATGAAGCAGGTGCACACAGTGTGGAAACTTGGATTGCGTATAACTTCCCCTATATCATCAGTAGCACAAATCGTCTTGTGTTTCTCTAGTGAAGGACTAGTTATAGCTTGCCAGTTTTTCAGTACTTATACTGTTAATTTGAAGAATGGAGGCCATGCGCTCTGATATGGAATTCCTAATATCTGATTATATACAATCCTCTTGGATGATTTTGAAGCATTTACAACTGGAAATGTAAGGCTGTATTTTACCTCACTCCCTAATATACCGAAGCATTGAATACACACAATACTAAATATTAAGACAGTGACTGGAAAAAATGTTCTTTCCCCAAATAGGTTCTAACTATGGGTAAACCTTTCTCATTACAGCAATGTCTTCCAAGGCTTTGCCATTTGCGTATATCGTATGGCAGACATCTGGGAGGTTTTTAATGGACCATTTGCTCATAAAGATGGCCCAGACCATCAGTGGGCAGCTTATGAGGGCAAGGTGCCTTACCCGAGGCCAGGAGTTGTAAGTAATTCATACCTGAACTATGAAAACAATCTTAAACACTTGTTTAGAAAAAGAACTTGCTAACCATAGTTTTTTTTACTTAATAATTAATGCTGATTTCGGATATTATCTGTCAGTGCCTTTAAGACCCTGGCTGTATATCTGAAGTTTGTGACTAGCAGTATTTTATGGGGCAGGAGATGTTAGGATGAACTGGCGACTCCATGCAAAACAAACAAATGGCCTTTCAGGAAAAGTCCCCTGTTGACATGCATGGAATATGGCATTTGGTTGGGTTTTTTAAAAAAACAAAAACTATCAACTTCTTTTTGTGGAACAGTGTTAAGGCATTAATCCAAGTTGAAAAATTGCAAGTGGGTGACGTTCTGATTGGGAAGCAGACATTTCTGAGGGGTAGCACAAGTGACTGAAGTGTCTGCAACAGAGAGACATCACAGAAGATAAGCACATAGTCCAGGTAGAGCAAGTTCCGAGAGCAGCCAAGGGCCAGTATCCCAGTGGTTAGAGCACATGCTTTGTGTGCAGAAGGTCCCACGTTCAATCCCTGGCATCTCCAGTAGTGCTGGGAAATTCCCCTCTCTGAAACCTGGAGATCTTCTGCCAGTCAGTGTAGCATTTCCTCCGCTTTATCCAGTCGGAACCATTGTGTCTTGTGTTAGATATATTTCTAGTACTTAAGACAGAAGCAAACAGTGGACTCTTCCTAACGAGGTCAACTGAGACCTGGGCTGATTTATAAATGAATTTCCCAGGGGCTTCTGTCTGGTACTATATGCTGAACTAAATGAACTTTTAGGGATGGCATTCACTAAAGCCGTCAAAAACTCTCTAGAGAACCTTTCTCAGCCTGAGGGCCATGTTTCCTTCTTGGCAGCCTTCTGAGGGCCACATGCCAGTGGTGAGTGGGACAAGAGTCAAACGTGGACAGAGCAGTGAGTGACCTTTATTCAGCAAGCTAGTTCCTACAACCCCCCACCCCACTCCAACTCCCATCCAGGCAAGCTAGAGTCGTTTGCTGACACATTCCAGCTGGGCAAAAACACTCAAGGCAAGTGAAAGGTGTGGCTGGAGAGGAAGCGTGGCGTGGGCCAAGGGCCAGATATAGGGGTGTGTCCTGAGGTTCCCCACCCCTGCCCTAGTCAGAATCATAGGAGACTTTTCATTGTGATCCTGCTCTAAGGTGGATAAGCAGCAGGAACAGAGCCCCATTTGGCTGAAATGCTGTTCTTTTCCCTCCGTTCCAGTGCCCCAGCAAAACCACCAATCAGCCAAGCCGGCAGTACTCCTCCACCAAGGACTACCCCGACGAGGTCCTGCACTTTGCCCGTGCCCACCCACTGATGAGCAGATCCGTGTACCCTCTGCATCGCCGGCCTGTGCTGGTGAAGACCAACCTGCAGCACCGCCTGCGGCAGATAGTGGTGGACCGTGTGGAAGCTGAGGATGGGCAGTATGATGTCATGTTCATTGGCACAGGTGCAATTGCGTGGAGCGTTAGGGCTTGGTGATGTTGGGGGTGGGCATCTGTCAATGTGGAAATGAATATTAGAGGCAGTCTCTTGAAATTTTGCATGCTCTGAGGCTGAGCTTGGGTATGGAAAACCAGGTTTGGGGCCAACTAAGTACTTGTGATCCCTGCATCAAATTAAAGCTTTTTGTATATGAACTGAAACCCTGGGGGCCTCGGCAAAGTTTCCTGCTGTCTTACAGAATGACTCTTGAAGCTTGCCAGCTTCTCTCTTTCCTCGGGTTCCCACCCACATTTACTCTTTGTAGGTGATTGCTGTTTTGGAACTTGCGTTTAGCATTTATCCATTATTGTTCTGTCCTAGGCCACTGTATCAATAAGCATTATTTCTGTATCCATATTATGATACACTCCATTCTTAGGCGAGATAAAGTACCTACTTGACTAGATGCAAGAAGTTGAAAAGTTCCTTGAAATACCAAGGTGTGGAAGAAGAGGGCAAAATACTTTTGAAGGGGCTCTCCTCTTTCATCTTGTCCCAGTGAGCCAATGAAGCTACCCCTCTCTCAGCTGAGAAACAATTTCCCTTAAACTAGCATAGGCTTCCCACAAAATAGCTCATAAGCAAAAAGGATTCAAGGACAGGAGAAGTGAAGAAGACATCCATGATCACACATGCAGTCAGTGGTGTAAATTGGAGTCAAATCCCAGCTCTCTCTCGATTTCCAATAGCAGCTTTCTTTGTGTCTTTTATAAGTGCTTTCTGTGGGAATAACATGGTCCCCAAGGACAAGCTGTCTTTCTTTGCAAGCTTCTGTCCATGGTAGAGATCAGTGGTCAAAGAGGAGCAGGCTTTTGCCTCTGACAGAATGCCTGGTGGCCACAGAGGTAGTTGCCTTTGTTTCACGGTTCTCCCTTTGCTGCTTCCTAGATGCTGGCTCTGTACTGAAGGTTATAGCCCTTCAGAGAGGCAACTTTGCAGCAGCCGAAGAAGTCATTTTGGAGGAGCTTCAAGTATTTAAGGTGAGATAAAAAAAAAAAAGGCAATGTGTACAACCTGATCCCGGAACAGATATGCCAATCATGACTGTATTACACAGACATGTAATCAGCTAAGTATTCTTCTTTGTTCACGTGTAGATTGGATTTATCCAGGGCTTTTTTTTTAGTGGGAACTCATGGAAACTCAGTTTCAGCACCTCTCGGGTGGGCACCATTGCCATTCTAAGAGAACAAGAGAGGTGTTCATGGTGAGTTCTGGCACCTCTTTTGCTAGAAAAATAGCACTGGATATACCTCTCTTGCACATGCTTGCAGCATGGATGCATATTTGTGTACTAGCAGATATTACCTGTCTAATTTTGTGCTCATGTCACAGAAGAAGCGTATTTGTTATAGCCCAGTTTCCACACACTGTGCTTTTTATCTTATGCCATATGTCATAGGACATGGCATTTCAATATTACTAAAGCTCTAATCCTGAACAATTTCTTTGTCTCTCTGTTTGTGCGTGTTCCTGTGCCTTTGTTTTTGTGTGAGAATACGGGGGAGCTGAATGACCCTATATCTCTGTAGGAAATGCAGGACAGAAATGTGCAGTTGTGGGAGATTGGGGCAGGGATCAGTTCTGCGGCATGTTTTACCTGAGAGGCCATTTCTTTTTCTCCCTTCAGGCACCAGTCCCTATTACTGAGATGGAAATATCTGTCAAGCGAGTGAGTAATGAATTACTACTTTAAAGTACAGGTGTGGTGGTGGAGAAGCCGCTGTGCAGAAATGCCTTAGAAATGCTGGCCAAGCCATTGGCTACTGCAGGCTCTGGTGGTGGCAGTCCAGCACTGTTATCAAAATAAAACCCTATCTATTAAAGACCAAAGACCCCTGCAGCAGCTTTATAATAAAGGTTTGTTTGTTTTAATCCCCGGAGATCCAATCACAGATTCCCCATCTGATTTCTGTTTTGACCCTCAATTTCACAGCCATACATTATGTGTGTAGGAGGCATTATGTATTGGCAGGTGAGGTGGGTGGGACACTTCTGGAGATGCTCATAGGGTTCTCATTAACAAGGCTGAACAGAAATAAGCATGTTTCACTACAAAGATGGACCTCAGTTTTAGACTCTGCTATACCAAGACAGCAACCCAAGGGTCAATGCAAAATAATTCCACTCTGTTAAACACTTGAATCATTCATAAACTGCAAGGTCCTTATTTTAGTACAATCCTGACATGCAGAACCTCAGTCATGTACATTTTGCTTGCTCTTTGACCTTCTTCACCACCTGAACTTTTTTTTTTTGGTCCAAACAGATAAAATTCCTCTACTTCTGTAATGTTTGTTTAGATCTGTAAATAGACCCACCCCCTGGACTTTAATCATCATCTATTATTTAGTTCCCAGGAAAGCTAGCAGAACTGGTGAGAGCTTTCCTACCCTTCGCCATTTCCCATAAATCACGCTGCATTAGAGTCCAAGCATGCAACACACGCGTCCCTCTTTACTCCTTGTAACCTGAAAGGCTGCCTTTCACTCCCTGTATACCTGACAGTGTACTTCTGTTGTGACCTGCAACATTCCTTGTATTGCTCTCCCACCTGGATATTGTATCTAGAACTGTCAGCCTGTTTTGCAATCCCCTGGTTGCTTTAGATTTCGTTCAGGCAAATCTTAACCTAATTATTCTCTAGCGTCCCAGTAGCGAATTTGAAAAGCGTAGCTTTTATGGAGAATTGTCTTCAGGCAATTGGCTCCAATTGCAGCCCAAGTTTCTGTTTGCCAACCTGCAGTCCAAAATATCTGGAGGTTACCAGGTTGGCAAAGGCTATTCTACCGGGTGCAGGAGATGAGCTTCTTCTGGAGAGAAAGGAGTGCATCAAAGCTACACTGCAAGGCTTTGCTCCCTTAGCTCTCATAGGAATGCTGTTGAAAATGTTGGTTGGAAAGTAAAGACTCTGCAGTTTAGTACTGCTCCAACTCACCTAGCCTCCTTTGTTTTGACAGCAAATGTTGTATGTAGGCTCCCGGGTGGGAGTTGCCCAAGTGAAACTGCATCAGTGTGAGACATATGGGACAGCCTGTGCTGAGTGCTGCCTAGCACGGGACCCTTACTGTGCCTGGGATGGCCTCACCTGCACCAGGTACCAGGCATCAGGCAAGCGTCGTTTTCGTCGGCAGGACATCCGGAATGGGAACCCCATGCACCAGTGCCTGGATCAAAACTTGACAGGTGAGGAAACGTGCAAGGTACATACCCAGACCAGTAGCTGTGGGCTATGAAGAGAATGGGGCAGCTGTGTACGCAATACACTCTGTTGCAGTGCAAGCTCTGTAAGCTAGCCCAGTGGCAATATGTTTGCTGTTGTATTGCTCTCTTTTTTGTCACAACGCACTCATTAGATAAGAGGCCATGAGAGTCTCACAAAATTACCGTCTATTTATTTGGGAGGAGGTATACTTACTTACTCATTTCATTTCATTTATTTTGCATTTCTATCCCACCTTTTTCTCCAGGGAGCTCAAGGTGGCATACATGGTTCTCCTTCTCCTCATTTAATCCCCGCAAAAACCATGTGAGGTAGATTAGGCTGAGAGCAAGTGATTGGCCCAAGGTCACCTAGTGAAATTCATGGCTGAGTGGGATTTAAGCCCTGGGGTCTCCCAGGTCTTAGTCCAAAACTCTAACCACTACAGCACACTGCCTCTCTTCCAGCCAATCTCCCAGTCCCCTACTTCAAGTAGCTTCAGCCCCACCCACCCCTCCCAATCTCCCATGGCCTAGAATCTAATAATGTAGGCAGGTGTTCTAAGCAAGCTGGTGGGGGCGGAGGCAAGCATTGCTTGAGTGTTACAAGAAAGCAGTACAGCCCAGGAATTCAGTTAAGAGAAGTGTAAAAAGGTGAGGCTGTGGGGGTGAGTAGGATAAACATTAAATATGTTTCAAGACAGAAAATTAAAACTCTAAATCAGATTGTTGAAGCTAACATAGATGATCACATGATGAATGACTATGGGTAAGATGCCATGTTTTCTTTTTAAAACTGCAGCTGTAGCAAAAAAATAAAAATAAGAAGAAACTATGCCAGGTTGTGTTCTATGATGTTTAATTTGGGTGATTCTTATTTGCAACTAAAAGCCAGAGGGGCCAATGAGGAAGAGTCCCTGTAGGTAGGGAATGCTGAAGACAGTCATCTCTAATAGGTGAGAAGTCTGGTGGAGAGGTTAATATTTTACTGCCAGACAGGAAAAAATGGTGCTGGTGTGGGACTTGGCTGGCAGGACATCCTGATATGATGTCTGCTATTCCAGATACTTACAGGGAAGTTTTAAAACACCAGGCTTGCCAGTCTCAAGGATTCTTAACGAGGGCATTGTCATAAGCCATATCCACAGCCCTTGAAAACACGGGGTGGTGGTGAAAACGGCAACCGTTTGGGCAGCTAGCATTAGCTGAGGCTTCCATTATGTTATCACAGATGTGCCTCAGAGGAGCCTTCATGCACATAGAAAAAAATTAATTCTTTTAGTGTCCCCAGGTGTACAGGTCAAGCTTTTGCTTGCATGTGACAGAGCTCTCTGTGCCAAAGAGCCACACAACAAGTCCCTGGCTCAGCAAGGGACCCAGCCCCCAACCCCTCCCCATGTTCAGCTGCAGTATTCTGCCTTGTTATGCAAGCCGTGGCCCTCTGCAAGGAGATGGGCTCTTTCTGCTCAGCTAGCAGTCTTTGATATGTGCACCCTCCTGTTTCCATAGTGGATGATTTCGACAGCACGGAGGAGAAGGTGGTCTATGGGACGGAACACAACAGCACCTTCTTGGAGTGCATCCCAAAGTCACCCCAGGCTGCGGTGCAATGGTTTGTACACCGGTCTCCAGAAGAGTTAAGAGATGAGGTGAGGCCAGTCCCGTTCTCCACTTTCTCAATACTTTTGCTTCCTTTTCAATAGGATTTTTTTAAAAAACAAAAAACTCTTGCTAAATGCATTCAAATTCTAACCTTATTCTTCCTGCTTTTGGGTGTAGGGAGGTATTCACCACCACTGTGAATTCAACGGTTAAAACTTTTTTCTGCCATGAAAATGTGCTAATAAATATAAATGATTTAAACAAGTAAATACCTAAGCCCATTCTACCCATTATGCAGAATGAGCTGGGAGACTGAGGTGGAAGAATTTTGCATAGGTACCACTTCAGGCTGCAGGTAGGGCATGTATCTCCCCGTCCCCCACTTAAATGCTTCCCCCACAAACGGTTCCTTCTATGTGCAAACTAGTCCATCAGGTAGAGGAATATACAAAACTTCTGCCTGTGGTTTTTGCAGCCTGTGGGTGGTTTTTGTTTTGTGTCTTAATGGGAGAAAGCATTCAAAGATATGCTCCCTCACTGCAGTCTGTAGTGGTGCAGTTCAGAATTCCACCCTCTCTCCAGCCACTCTGCGTAACGTGTTGAAAGGCTTTGTCTATGCCTAACACACAGGCTGGGAGAAGCGGAAGTGGTTAGTTCCACAGAGTGCAGATGACCACGGATATTCATTTGGAGTGCCACCAACAAGGAGCTGGCTTGTGTCACATCCTGTATTAACATCCAGTTAATACAGACACCTCCTGCTCAGATATCAACAGATTCTTTAGGACCTTTTCTTTGTACTTCCATCTGGCCCCTGTCATCTCACGTGCTTTCCCCCATCTAGACCCTCGCCTCACTTCTTTAACCTTTCCTCATTTGGTTTCTTAGCCTTGCCTGCTGCATGGATCTCCGCTAGGAATTCTTGAATTAAGCTGAAAATGGAGAAGCCCACGCTCCTACTGTGTGAGGTCTCGCCTCTCTCTTCCCAGAGTTAGCAGGCTAGTCTAATTCCCAGGAAGCTGGGTTGAGAAAGATGTGATAATAGTGTGAGGTTTCTGAAGGGGAACTCTCTGGAGCAAAAGGGGCAGTTGAAGGCTGGGCTGGCCAGTAAACACAGCTGCTAAGTTACAGTCCAAGACTGGCAATTGCTAATAAGGACAGCTCTGGTGTCATAAAGAGAGCAAAGTGGTGTCAAGACTCTCTCCTACCTCCCTCCAAACCCCATAGCTTTGTTAAAGGACCACACAGAGCATTGGAATGCGTCGTTCCTGCTTGGTTCCTTGTTCTGTATGTAAGACAAATAAATACAAATCATTCCAGCGTAAGGGGGGGGGGAGGAAAACATTAAATGGATTCTTATGCGCCTCCACCCTGTTTTTTAAGTGTAGAATTTGAATGCAGAAGCATTCGGAGGCAAGGCTTGTGTCATAGGACCTGCCCGGAATAGTTTTACAGGTGAAGAATGTTCAGAGGAGAACAAAGGCTTCATCTAGACTGAGCCTGTTATGTCATTCTTCATGCACTTAAAAAAAAAAAAAAAGCAAATGAAGCTTATCCATCTAGTAGTTTAGGTGGTCCTCCTGGGTGGAGGAATTAGCTTAGGCAACTGCTGCTTCCCTAGAAAGGGTGTTGGTTGCTTATACCATAGGCATGAGACCCCCAGAGACAGTTACAGCTTAATTGCCAAGAAGGGATAGGCAGAGACAGGGAGGCTGTATGGATGGGGAAAGTGATAAGATGAGAAGAGTTGGTTTCTTTACAGAAAATGGTTGGACGTCCAATCTCAGCCCGTGTTGAGGGAATCTGACAAGTGCAATGCTGTGCAAGCTTGAGACAATGGCAGGAGAACAGCTGGGACTTGTATTCCTTAGCAGGAGGCAGGACTCCAGGCTGGGACAATCCTGCCTGCTCCATATGAAAGGAGGCTTGCAGCTTGATAGGCTGTTTCAGGAGATAATAATACAGAAGTAAATGAACTTTAGCTCAAAGAGCAATGGAAGCAAACATCCGAATTGTACTGACTCTCCTCTTTTGGGCTTCACAGCAACTCCCCCAACTGCCACCAACCCTTGTCTCATTCTTCAGCAATGTATCAGTATCTGGGATTGTGTGTATGCATTATTTTTTAAAATCTGCATCAAGAAACCCTGAATTCATTGTCCTGAATAAATCATGTGAATGAGACAACTACCCTGCACCATTTATTCCATCTCTTCTAGTTAAGAGGAAGAGGCATGATGTATTTCTGACCACTGGAAATTCCTCACACACTTGCCTCCTCTGAATCTTCACCAAGGATTGTGAGACATAATTTCAAACATGTCTCCACAGCATCTCTGTAAATCATGGAATTTTTGGGGAGCTGTAATTTTGCACCCATTACTGCAGGGATCTACTTGATGATAGCAGTGCCACTGCAAACTTCAGAAAAATACTGGCAACCCTTTCTCTTGATTCCCTGAAATGCCTTGAATATAGAAGTGCAGATCTGTAATTTTAGACTCCTTTCCATAGTGTTGTGCATTACTTCAAAATGTGCCCTCCTGCTCATTCTACTGCGGAGACCCTGAAGTCCTGCCATGATGGCACCCCTGCTTTAGTAAGCTACAGGGCACCACCACCCAGAATCTAACCTCCTGCTCCATTTCTTTTCCCTTAACCCTTTTTCTCCAGGTGAAAACAGATGATAGAATCATGAGGACAGAGCAAGGACTGCTCTTCCGGAAGCTTTTCCGCCAGGATGCGGGAACATATTACTGCAAGGCTCAGGAGCATGGCTTCACTCAGACCGTCACCAAAATCATGTTGGAGGTGATTGAGAGCGAGCAGCTGGAGCAGGTCTTTCAGCGGGAGCAGGAGGAGGAGCCGCCTCGCCCGCTGTGCCGGGTGCCTGATCCCCGCATGCTGCATGGGCAAAGGATGTGGTTCAAAGACATCATGCACCTCATCGGCTATTCCAACTTGCACCGGGTAGAGGAGTACTGTGAGCGCGTGTGGTGCGGAGACCGCCAGCTGCGGCACAAAGGCAGGCCCCCCAAGAGCAAGAACATGCTGGATGGTGGCAAAAAGGGGAGGGGCAAGCAGCACGGAGAGAGGAACAGGGTCCCTAGGCAAGCGGCTGCCACATAAGTGGAAAGGGAGCCGACACATGGCAGGAGGAGAACATGAGAGGAGGAAAGTCGGCATGGGCCAACCTTCCTCCTCGAGAATGAAAATCAGCCCCTCTAGGAACTGTCCTTATGATAGGAACTTGTCCTTTTGGAAGGGGCCGCCTTGCTGATCAGCTGAGCCTGGAGACATTCCTTGCTGGAAGCACATCACTTCCCTCTGTCACTTGCATTGGAGACAAGGACTCAAACACCAGACCCATTTCCTTCCTATTCTGTCTTGTATTTCACTTGCACCTTGGGGGGTTGGTTGGTTGGTATCAGGTCTGGGAAGGTGTGGGTTGGCCTGAAGACACTACTCTCTCCATGCAGTTGTTGTGTATATTCTGTTGCCGCCCCCGGTGTTCAATATGACTGAGCCACAAAATGCAGAGACATAAGGGTTGAGGATCTAACCATGTGGCAAAGGAAAACCATCCCCAGAAGTACCAGAAGACAAGCCAACAGCACTCTGCTTAGACGTCTGGGTGGGAATAGTGGTGAGTTCCTGCTGGGAATGGGCAGGATGGAGGCAGGCAGGTCTCTCCTGCAGCTGACAAGTGACAGGCACATTCAGCTGCACGCAACATGTGACAAAAATCGCCTCTCTGAAGAGAGCGAATGTGGATTCCAGTGGGATCCCACTGACCCCCAGCAAAAATGGATAAGGAACTAATGTGATTAATGAGCTATGGATTGTAATTGTTCTTTGGTGGTAGTGAGGCAAATTCTGTTTGTCAATCTTAGGGACTTCATCTGTCCAGAGGCAGGAAGCAGTCTAAAACTTTGGGGGGATTTTAACTGATGCGGCTTAATGTGGTCATTTGTGAATGCAAAGCCTACATTGACCAGAATGTTAATTCACCTTGCCAGTTGCTCTCTTCTGCTTGACCAACAGTCTTGATGTTAACACTAATAGTGCAAAAAGAGGCTCGACGGGAATTTATAGGCCAAAGAAAACGTTATGTTGCAGCTGTACTACATTAGCCTGCTACTACTCAGTTACAAGGCTGGGGCTTTCAGGGTGGGAAGTGAGTGGCAGGAGAGGAGTTAAGCACATCCTTCCACCTGCCTCCTTCCTGCCACTATGTGTGTTGGAGCTGAGAAGAAGCCACCAGGCTAATATTTATACGTGGCTGCAGCCATGTAACACATAGCTTGGCCCTCAGTTGTACATATGTGAATTTTGCAGGCTGCCTCATACCACCCAGAGCAGACTTACATCTTTCCCACCTGTGTCTTTTGAGCATTCTTAGCTGCATTCGCTGAGCCAGGCAACATCTCTTCAAGCCCGTGTCAGAACTTTGGCTTTAAGTGCTCTCCGTCTTTCATTCCTGTATCTCTGAGGCTGTGTTGATCCCCTAGATGAAACTGATTAAGCGCCAACAGCTGAATGAAAACCACCAGTTTGTTCAACAAATAAATTAAACCCTTATGCAGCAAGCTCAGGCTTGGGGGCAAGTCTTTTCTCTTTTGTTTTCAGTGATTCAGTGTTCAGCTGCACAATGAATGGGTCTCATAGCAAGCTGTGCCCAGGACTGAAGTTTATTGCTAAAACTTCTTCCTACAATGTCACTCATTGTACAGTCAAAAGTTGATTGTTTTCTCCAAACACATCGAACAATGCATGTGTCGAGGGGCCAGAAAATAAAGCTCAACTATCTATGGTTTTGTGAAGAGATTAGAAAGGTTAGCAGTGCACAGACGCCTCCTGAAATAAGATGTCCTCTCGGTGACCAGTTTCTGGAGAAAGCACTATTGACACAGTCAGTTTGGTAATAAATGGGCAGATAAAGACCATTGGGTGGTATTCAGTAAAACTTGGTTGAATACCACTCAATGTCATCTGTCCCCGCTCCCCTTCTGGCTGTCTCCAGACAGTGTGCAGTTTAACACTGGACTGGATGAACTTTCCTAGGAAGCAGTACCCACCTCTTGCCCCGAAGAGGTGTAAGTCAGGGTTTGTGCAGTGGTCTCTGGGCAAACATTCAGAGTTACTGTGTTATCTCTGCCCACCTGGACTCGTAATAGATCAGCTCAGGGACTGGCACACTCTCCTTGTGACTTGCTGGTGTCATGATGTTTCAGCATACAAAACTGGGATAAACACACGCTTCTCAAAAACAATAAAAATGGCAAAACGCCAATTGGTATATACTATGCACATTAACATCCTGGTGTAGACAAAGTCTCAGTTTGAAATCCACTTCCATCAGTTTCCGGTACAGCAAATGAATATTTGGTATAGTGCATGCTGATTTTAAAAGATGTCATTTACATGAAAGGGATCTACCAGAAAATGGCAGGTAGAACAACTGCATCAACCTTTCATGCCAAAAGATGCCCATCAAGGCAGGGAGAAACAAGAAGTTTTGTCTACCAAGCGTAGGTTCTACCTCTCCTTTGTGACTGAAGTTTAAAAGTGCTCAGAGCTGCAGTACCCTAATGCACATTGAAGGAAGTTAAATTCAGATAGGTCAAGTTAGGGATCAAGAGATGGGTTGATAATACAACAAGTAGCAAATAAGACATGGAGAGCATTATTAGGAAGGATTAGGGAGCAGTTGCTGATGAATAAAAAAGAGAAAACATCTGTGATAAAGGCAAAATAACAGTAAGTATACTTGAACGTAATACAAATATTTCCTAATGCAGCTTGTACTGTTACGGTGCAGCAGTTGAATTCTCTCTCTTAATAATGTTTGGTTCTGAAGTCAGTGGAATTGGCACTGATGTGTCTTACGTGTCCCAGGATTTATGGTGGGGTGAAGGATGGGATAACAGAATGGCACTGAGTTCCTCCTCGAATGTCCTCTAATTGCCCACTGCAAATTGAGTGTGTGCTTTGTTCTTTGTTCAAAACACTTTTCATGCATCACCAGAGTCCCATTCAAAAGATGTCTCTCAACTTTCTGTGCAGTAAAGACTTCTTGGTGAAAGGGTGGCTTTGGTATTCCTAGCTTGGACACGGGAAGAGAAAAATGTTCCTTCCAGGAATGTCATTGTATCTGTGCATGTCATGAGGCAAAGCTCATACTTCCTTGAGCCCCATTTTTTGTGTCAGGACAAGAGGAAAGGCCTGTTTTCTAAGCCTGGTTTAGGGATAAATATTAGGGTCAAATAGTCCTTTCACTCCATATGACCCATTCAGAGCAGTGTGGAAATGGCATGCAGTGCAGTGTATCTGCTGGGATCCCAATTAAATGGAGGGAAGTAACTGTGGTTCATCTTTGGAAATACAGCATTTGGTCTCAGGAGGAGGTGCGGTTCACTGAGGACAAGTACGGACCCTGTGAATGCCACGGGAGGGGGGGTGTCAACAAACTAGTTCTAAGTGCATACAAAGGGTGGGCTATTGGTTGGAGTAAACAAAACAACACTGGCAGCTGTCTCTCCATGGTCGAAGGTCTACTCTGGGTAAAAGTTGAATACAACCCAGTGGTGTGAAAAGTGATTGGGGATAATAACTTTAACAAATGCATCTTGCTTTCTGCAAGCACTTTAAATACACCTTTCCTGTGCCTGAGGATTAATAATATGTATGAAGGTGGAACTTTTGCAGGCCAACTTTCGGGTTTATATTTGATTTGCTGCTGCTGTGACTCTTGTGAGGTAGCTGTCAAGGGAGGGAGATAATAATGCACTACTTTTCAGACATTATTAGTAATTAGAGTGTATTGGACTATATGTGCTTCATATTTTGGCTTCCAAACTGTTCTGGACAATTTAACAATTTCCATTGCCCCTTCATATGAGATCTGTCCATTTATTCACCTGTCCATTCATGATTGCTGTAGTTACTAACAATTACACACTCAAGTGGATGGTTTAATAATATTTTGCCTCACTTTTAATATGAATGGGACCCTATGTCTTGCACAACTATGGATTTGTTGTGAGACGTTAGGAAAAAAACAATTCCCCCCACCCTTTTGCCTCAGAGCAATTTAAGGCAAATTATCTTTTGATTGGAGCATATTGAGGGGATATGGAAAGCTAAACTATTAAGCATGTAAAGATTCCCAAGACACTAAAGTGACTTATAGGCAATACTATTATTATGGGGGGGGGGGAGATGGGAGTTTTTAAGCCTTGTGTGTGGAGCATATACTTGATATCTGATACATCCTCTGTCAAGAAAACTCTCTCAGAAAGCAGACAGCCTTTATGATCTTTGCCTTCTCCAGCTACAGTCCCATGAGCTAATGTGCCAGCAGGTCTTTGAAGCCGGGTGTGTGAAGGGAGAAGACAGGCAGACAATGAACTTCTTTCCTGCATCTGCTGGAATATAATTACATGGAGTTTATTTTTGCAAAAGGCTTACAAAGTGGAAAGTGAGCATGACATGAGGTAAAATAACAAATAGTGGGAGATCGCAGAGAGTGGATTTCACAGCCTGTGTATGAACATGATTTAGACCTTTCCTGTGCACTAGACTCGGGTCTCCCCATTTGCCGTGACTTCTCAAACTTGTGACTTCTCATTCACCTCAGTGAACAAAGCAGGATAAAATCCCATCATTCAGATGCTTCACACAAGAGTACTGAATCCTACCACACCTTTTTGCCAGACTAAATTATTGCTCAGTGCTTCTAAGTGTTAAAGGGCACCAAGTTTTTCCAGAAACCTAATCCTAAGCTATTTGGTGACAAATTCTATTGATTTCACTGGAATGTCTAAGTGGGTACATTTAGGATCTGCTGCCTGAAGCTTGCTTTCCCCCAAAGTAAGCCCCATTAAACTTAGTGAGACTTCCGGGGAAACAGGCTTAGGGCCAGGTTGCCAGAAATAACTTCTTTTTAGTCCACAATGTGTTACTAGATGCACCATCTTTTCAGATAATAGATTTCCAGGGTGGGTTCCATCAAATTTTAAAACCCACTGAGATAAATTACAGTTAATATACCAAATAAAACAACCACTAAAGGATTAAAAGCATCAGTAACAAGGATTTAAAACCAGCCACTAAGATCAGCTTGGGTATCAGAAACTGGCTGAAAGGTCGAAGTGAGTAACAAGAAGATCCTTGTGCCATAAAGGCATTTGATTTGGTGCCAGGCAAGCATCCTGGAGGAGGGCATGGCCATTCTCAGGGTAGTCACAGATTCCCCACCTCTGATGTAGATAACACATGGGCTAGATAGACCAAAGATTCTGAGCACAATTCAAAGTGTTGGTGCTGACCTTTAAAGCCCTAAACGGCCTTGGTCCAGTATATCTGAAGGAGTGTCTCCACCCCCATCGTTCTACCCGGACACTGAGGTCCAGCACCGAGGGCCTTCTGGCGGTTCCCTCACTGCGAGAAGCCAAGTTACAGGGAACCAGGCAGAGGGCCTTCTCGGTAGTGGCGCCTTCCCTGTGGAACACCCTCCCACCAGATGTCAAAGAGAACAACTACCACCAGGCTTTTAGAAGACATCTGAAGGCAGCCCTGTTTCGGGAAGCTTTTAATGTTTGATGTATTATAGTATTTTAATATTCTTTTGGAAGCCGCCCAGAGTGGCCAGGGAAGCCCAGCCAGATGGGCGGGGTATAAATAATAAATTATTATTATTATTATTATTATTGCCCAGCCAGATGGGCGGGGTATAAATAATAAATTATTATTATTATTATTATTATTATAAGGCAAGTTCCTTGAGGGCTACACTGAATGATAGGATTACTCTCTGTTCGCACTAAACACTCCAATATCAGCTTCTTTTTCTTTGTAAGTTGGAAGGCAATTGCCAGAAGCCAGGTTGCGGTTAGAATGAAGCTGTGTTCAATATTCAATTAGCACTACGCAAAACCACAAAGATGGGAAAATGTCATTAGGAGATTCCTTAACAGGGACCTGGTGGAGACAGGAAGAGATGTTGGAACCCTTTCAGACATGGATTCCAAGAGGGTGGAATGATTTTCATCATTCATCTCCATTTCCTTTTCCTCACTCAATATTTCAACTCATTTTGTGGGTCTCATTGTCTCTACTTTCAAGGGCTCTTCCAGGTGGAAGATTTTTCAAATGCTAGCTCCTGGAAGTCATACATGATTAAGTGCACTGAACAAGATTAGTCCAAAAAGGAGTTGGCATCTAGCAAGATAAGTGTGGTAGAGCAGGGATGGTTAGAGGATAAGACTAGCCCACCACTGAACCCTGATCTCTTGTAGGCCACCCATCCGGCTGTTGGATTTTATTTTACAAAGAAAACTGGACTAGATGGATCTTTGTTTTAACTGGATAAATATTCAGCATATTCAGTAACATGTGCCTCAGATTACTTATACCTTAAGAGGACATTAGCATCCTTGCTTTGTACATTTAAGCACATCACTGCATCCTGAGGGGTGGTGAGGATGATGGTACTGAAGTCATTCATGAGCCAACTCTTGTGATGAAGATGCAATAGTAGGGCATGTGCAGTATCTTCTCCGTAGGATTCATTTTTTAAAAAAATGATATTT